CCCCCCCCCCCACGAATTATTTCCTGAGATGCTGTTTTTGAAAGTAAACCGTGCATAACTTTTACATACGACCACCAATTGGTCTCAGATTTTGAATAGGCATGCCTTTAGTGGTGCCAAGTTAAACTTTAGAAAATGGTTTGGGGGGGGGGGGGTAAACACATGTTCTACCCTTCATAGTGTTCTAATGAAAGGTCTCATCGAAATAAATTAGTTTGTACAAACTATAACTTTCCCGTGCGACTCTGATTCGAGATCAGTGAGCGACGGGGCCTGAGGGGGGGGGGGAGGGGGTAAAAATTAATTTTATCTCTCATTGTATTCTAATTAAAGGTCTCAACGAAAGGAACAGTTTTCTACAAACTACTGCCCTTCTTTTTGTCCTCTTATCAAAGTACGGGGTGGAGGGGGAAGGGGGGCGAGTGGAACTTATATGCTACAAAAAAAAAGATATTCCAAAAGGAGATCAGAATGATTATCCCCCCTCCCCCTCCATGATACAGAAGCAAAGCTCTATCGTTCACAGACGCAGACAAGCCCACAGCAGAGAGACACATGGAAGAAAAAGTCTAATTTGTGTGTAAGGTGGTTGCATAACTGTCAAAATTTTGATCCAATTGATCCAGAAATAAGGAAGTTTTCTATTAGTCCAGGCTGTGGGCCAGGCAAAATATCTCTGAAATAATTTCCGATACAAACTGGGTTTTTCGTGCAGGTGAAATGATATGGGGGAAAATAAACACCTGGGCGAAATACTTGGGATTGAACATTGAAAGGGGTTATGGCGACGCGCCGCTTGCACATTCGGCAGCAAACTAAAATGTGCTGCATCCTCATTGGTCAAAACAGTAAACCGATGCGTATGCATCTCTTGCCAATCGACGATTGACACGAAAGCAGTTCCCAAGATACCGAACGGTTCCAAGGATTCCTCCGACCCTCCAGCACCTAGACTAGCAGTGAATCCGCCACCGTTTTGGAAGAACGTCCCCCACCTGTGGTTCCTCATCTCCGTTATCACCAATGATACGACGCGATGTCACACAGTGGTTACAGTCATCGAAACGCAAACAAACGAATTTAAAATAGGACGCCATCTTCTTGTTCTCGCGAACAATTTAATTAACACGACATCGAAAAGACCGATTTGTGGACACTTCCCCGCCGATTTTTGTTACTTTAAGCGTTGAATTTAACAACAAAATCAAAATTTACGTGGTCGCGTCCCGAGATCCTACACGCAAACGCCGATTTAAATTCGTACGAAAAGGAGAAGGGAGGCCATAACTTTTTGTAGTTTAATATTACGTTTAAACACCGATTTACGTATGATGAACCGAAACGAACTATGTGCCAGAATTGTTCCCGTCTTTTATTTGACTTTTTTAAGTTTATTTTAATATCGCACTTCGTAAATTTAGCAGCAAACCGAAAAAATAAAACACGCCGGGAACGGCAGCAACGACATAGTTGGTCACGTGACGAAGATAGTGATCATGACGTCACAGCTGCAAGACTCCCTACGATTCGCCCGTTTCAAAAAATGGTCCAATCAAATGCATCCGGCTTTCTGTTTACTAGTTATTCCCGGAATTCTAAAGCGATGGCAAATTTACTTCCCAAGATCTAAAAACGGTTGCTATTGCAAAACGTTTTCACACAGAAATGGCGAAAATAACTTCTCTGCTTCCCCTTTATGTATACATACAACCATCATACGTGGGCCGGTGGGCGAATGTCCGTGTCATTCAGTGGCGTACGTAGACATTTATTCTGAGGGGGGATTAAACAAGTTCGTGGCACATACAGACATCCAGTGCGTATGTACTAGAAGGGGGAGGGGGAGGAGGGGGGGTAAGAAATAGAAATTGGGTTGCACACGCGAAAAAGATTAGATTAGAACGGTATTTTATTTCTTACTGCTGACAGGCCCCTTTATTGCTTTTGCTTTAATTAGTCAACGGAAACTTTGAATAATAGGTATATTTATGGGCAAAAAACCAATTTCGACAAAAAATTCAAAGGGCTGTAACTTTTGATCTAGTAGTCCGATCTTGGAACTGTTTGAAATTACGGATTCTACAGGCCACATTCTATAAGAAAATACTTTTTTCCGGTCGATCTGAGACAATTTTTTTTCTGGGCAAAAAAAAGGCAGTTATTTACCTTCCTTTTTTACCAAAAATCGACTGCACCAAAATTTCTCGGGAAAAAACTTTTTCTTATTAATTTGGGTGCGTAGAATCCAAAACGATTCGTACTTTTTTCGATTAGACGTCTCCATCAAAAGTTATGGGCAAAAAAATTCCTGTTTTTAAAATTTAAAATTCTTATTTTCGTCATTTCGTGAAAGGCAGGACGCAGGTACCTCACCTCAAGAGCAGTACTTCATCCCCCCCCCCTCCCGTAAATACGCCACTGGTGTCATTTAATCCAAAACGTAAACAAAGCAATTTCATGGAACCAAAATACGACCCAAACAAACGAAAGTTGCCCTAAAGCGTGAAATGTGGAACTTTCCCATATTCCCGTGAAGTCCGAGCGTAAGGAAAAACCCCCCTCCGCCCCCCCCCTTGAAACAAATTCAATGTTTCTTTTGTACATCAATCGTTAAGATTTTTGTGCACTTTTGTTACTCCCAGTGCTGCGTCCTTGTTTAAAAACATTCAGCCCTAAGGGCACCCATATGACAATTTTTTATCAAAGACCATCAAGCCTTCCTTTACCTACCCCACAGACTTGCGGTGTTATGTTTCGTGGTCCTTTCTTAAACGTTATGGTGTAAGTGCTAAAAGTATTAAATATTTTGGGGGGAAATGCAGAACGGGGGGTGTCTAGAATACCTCCCCAGGAAATGAAAATTCAGTGTTCATTTTCCTACACCTATCGTAACATTTTCGTGGGGATGGCTCAGACCCCCTGGTGTCACATTCTCTCTAAAAATGTTCACACCTAAGGACTCCCGTGATAGTGGCCCTCTAATCTTCCCGCAAAAATGCTAAAACCAGGAAATGAAATATTAAGCGTTCCTGTTCCTACAATTACCATACGATAGGTATTTTGATGAGAAGATTCGTCTCTCGTTTGGGATAAAATTATTAATAAATAAATCTACGATCTCCCCAATATTTTTATGAATGGGAAGATCGTGGATTTATTACTTAATAATAATCATAAGATATTTCGTACGTACATATAATCCGTTATTGTGCATTTTCCACTTCATCTTTCAATCTTAGGGTGATTTTCATTGCTAACTTATCTCCACTTTCTTCTCGACCTGTTGCTAGATTAACTTCTGGTTTTACAACCTATTTATTTTCGAGTCTTTGGAGTTTTCAGGATTGTTACTTTGTGTTCAGGTTGTTTCAATGGACATAAATTGGTGTGTTTCCAACCTATTAAATGGTTTTCTTCACATGTAAATAGCTGCTTTTGCCACCACTAGGAATAGGTAGGCCATGGCGACTTCTACCAAATACAAATTTTCGTCTTTTAATAATAATAATTTTTTGACACCTCTTCATTCTCTCCGTCACAAACGCCAACAGCGTGTAGGTAGGTTGAAAATTTTGTTCTGGGGACAAGGAATGACCTTCAAATTGAAAAATGGATATACATCATAAGAACAGAAACAAAACAACAAAGTGACAAATGATATGCTTTTAACATTTTAGAAACTAATCAAACTATCAGTATTCTTTCAAATAGCAGAAGAGATCTTACACTGTTTTAAAAAGTAAGGTCTTTAATGAAATCTCACACCTGCTGCCATCCCTACAATTACTGTGAAGCGACCTCTATGGGTTGGATTGCTTTAACAATAATGTTTAAATAAAATAGTTACAAATGAATTGCAGTATATGTAAAATATGTACAATAATAATAATAATAACGAATTTAATGTAAATCAAAACTTAGGCTATGTTCTAATCAAACAGTTTATAAAACAGAGCATTTCACATAAATGAAATAAAATAATTTATTTATACATATACTACAAGCAAGGAAATAAAACTATGTGCAAGCCCAATGGCGTTAAAAAAAATACAAAAGTTAACGAAAGAGTATAATTAATTGGAAGTAGTTTCACTTATTTCATCACTAATTATCACACTTTCTTTTCTATCAAACGGTTCCGCGTACGGCCTTAAATAAACGGGAGTATCTCTGTTCACTGAATAGTTCGAGTTTTCGGAACGTTCACTAGAAAACACGTGACTCTTCGTGTAAACCTGTACGGGTCGCTGGAAGCCTCTCGCGTGGTGCTGCGGAAAGCCCAAAATTTCGCTCTTCGCGAAGCCGACATCGTTCGAAAGGAGGTACTGCGTGAAGTTCTCCGGAAAAAACTGGATGCTGTTGTAATTTTTATAAATTTTCTCCTACAAGCGACGTGTTAGATCAGATACGACGGGGAAGGGATACTTACGGTTAACTTCTTCTTTCCCTTGTAGCTGGCCCAATTTTGTGGTTCCAATATTAGCTTGCCGCCCGGTCGCAATTGAGCGTACATTCTCCGGAAGGCCTGCTTAATACCGGCGTCGCCCCAATTTAGATGTATCCACTTCGTGATGCTAAGACACAGTATGATGTCGAACTGCGGCTGTTCCACGCTCAATAGGGAGTCGTCGTCCAATACGTAATTTCCCTAAAACATCTCTTAGAGATATGACCAAAAGGCATAGGGCGAAAGGGGGAATACATGTGTAAAATTGTGTAGGAAAGAATACATGAAAATACTAGTGTGAGTATGGTAGAACAAATGCATATGGGATACAGCACATGCTTGCCCAATTTACTGTATAGATAAAAGTACTGTACCGTTTTATAATACAGTTGACATCCCAACACAGTGTACCAGTCACTTTCTAACTACAAAATAACGCCCCCAAACAGCTAAGTTTTTAACCAGTTTTAGTATAAAAAATAAATGATAAAGTACCTACAGAATGACGTTTATCAATTAATTGACAATATAAGTTTGACAACACTGTAATGAAGAAAATAATAAGTGGCGCCCATAATGCGTCTGGACAATTGAATATGCTTTAGCATTTTCTGAGGTTTTTTGATGTACCTAGGTATTTATTTCGGTTTCAAACATTGAAAAGCATAACAAAAGACTATCACATAATACCTTAAGAATACCACACTAATGAACTATCTCGTATGGATAGATCTTCATGTAAACAAATGAAATCATGTTTTTTAATATAAATAAAAGCCAACGTGCGCTACTAGTAGACATTACTGATGCTGAAGAATGCAGATGGAATACCAAAGACAAAGGATTAGTGAGAACAGAGTTGAAAGGGCGGGGCTTGCAGGGAGAAACTAACAGCAAGAGATGATAGTGGGAGGGAGGGTACAGAATACAAACAACAGAAATGAGAAAAACGAAATAAAATTGAAGGGCAACATGAAAATGATATTCCAGAATCTAGCAGGGGTAGCTGGTAAAAACGCTCAATTCTGGGAGTTTGTAGAGTTGTTCAAAATATGATGTGATGGGGTTGGTCGAATCATGGATAGAACAAAAGAAATGAAGATGAGGGTTCAGAATGAGAACCAATTTGTGAAAAGGGATAATATGAAAGGAAGAGAAAAAGGAGGTATGTACATATTAACAGGGGTAAAAATAGGAATAAGAGAAGGAAATGATAGAGGAGGCTTCAAATAGAGGTCAGACGAATAAAAATTGAGAGTGATAACGATATACAACACAGAAAGAATAAAGGACTAAAGGAGGAGGGGGTAATATTGGGGAGAGATTTTAATGCCAGAACAGGAATTAAAAGAAAATGGGTCGAGATGGGAAGAGGGACATTGAAAGTCAAGAAACAAAGAGGGAGAAGTGTTACTAAAATTATCTGAAAAGAGAGATTAGAGATTTTTAAAAGGAAATATGGAGGGAAATTCAAACGGGCAATTCACATGCATGGGAGGAAGAGGAAGGTCTGTAACACTTTATAACTTATATTGAGGATACATCCATTGAACGCCCCTAATGTCACCTGATCGAATTTTCATATCGAAGTTAGCTGCAGTGTTGCCTAGATCGTTGTATGCACGTTGCGGTGTTGCCAAACCACAATAGTAAATGAAAAAATACTGGAAGAAATAGATGAATTTAAGGTAGGAACAAGGATAGAATGGTATCACCAACCAATGGAATGTCTAAAAGGGAAGATACAAAAGATCAAGAAATGAAAAGACGCAAAGACAAAGGGAGATGCAGTTATAGATAAGAGGCAGGGTGGAGCTGTATAGAGGGAGACTAGATGAACAAAGAGAAGGAATAGGAAGGAGTACAGAGGATTGGAATAATATAAAGGAAAGTATTAAAAAACAGACTCAGAGTGTACAAAAGAGAAAAATAGATATAGAAAAATGATGGAGAAAAAGGTGAGAGAACAGAAACAAAAGAAAAGGCACAGAAAAAAAGATGGAGAAACAGAAAGATACGAAGAGCAAATCGAGGCAATAAAAACAGAGAAAGGTGATCAACAGAGGTGGAAGAAACAAAAATAGAGAAGATAAGAATAGCGTCAGGACGCAGAGCGGTAAGGTTCGAGGACAGGAGTGAAAAGAAAGAGATTGATAAAAGAATGCTTGACAAGGATGAACGCAAAGAGAATGTAGGGAAAACCAAGAGGAAAAAGAGAACATACAACACACATTATAGAATTGCAAAGAGGTGAAAAGGACAGGAGTGAGTGCTGGAAGAGGGAAGAAGTGAGAAGAGGATGAGAGGGATAGTAAACAAGAAAAAAATCGCATTTTAGTTTTAACTTAAATTGCAAAGTTTTGCCATTTTGGGGTCTAATAAAGATTGATTGATTGACTTTCACACAATTCTGATTCCATCTTTTAGAGTTTCTAGTGCCTTCCTCAATTTCGGTACCTACTTGCTAAAGTGCACAATTTTCTTTTGTTTTAAGATTGAGATAATACAAATATAACTAATAATTTGAACGTATTTCAGTGGTTTTTTGATTCTTATGTTCATCACACATTATTTCAGTTTGCGAAAATAGGAAAAATAAGCTTAAGCACTTCAAGTGAGTGAGACAGAGTACAGTTTGACGACTTGTTTTATTTGTTTAATGTCGTAAAACATTGTAGGCGTGGAGGAAAATAATTTTTTGTAGTACCTGCAGCGCCCATGCGATTTTGCTCGAAGGCGACCATTAAAAATTGGAATTTCAATACTTCAATAGTATCGAAATTTATGAATGCCTACAGCATTCTCCAACGCACGAGATGAGAGACATGCGATATACCATACTTACCGACACACTACAAAAAGCCACCTGTTATCCATATCAAGAATCTATACGAGACAGTCATTTTTATAGAAATGAATGACTATTCTCTGGTATTTTTGGAGTTCTTTGATATTCTCACAGTCTCAGTAGTGAAAAAGAACAGGGATACCTCTACTCTTTACCATGAAATATCTTAAAGCATACCAATAAATACGAATACCACTATGTGGATAAAAAGGTGACACATGTATTCCCCTCCGAGTGTAGAAACTTACGTGTTTAAAGGTGACATTTTTGGGAAAGCGTCGACTATCGCTTTCCTTAGTAAATCCTGGAATTTCAAGGGGCCCATATAAAATAGGCATCGAAATGGGAAAAAACTCACTATTTTTAGTTCTATCGTTCTCGTCGTCATTACGAGGCGGCGTATCGCACCTCTTAACGTAATGTTTAATATTCTTATGCGCGATTTCGATTAGTTTTTTATCGATATCCACGCCGACGATACTTTTCGCGCCGTAATCGCGCGCGATCGACAAAGTAATGTGCCCGATGTTGCAGCCGATATCCAAAATGTCCTTGTCCGCGAACATTTCTTTGTGATTGCTGAAGCACAACAGGCGGAGGTCTACCTCGCTGTGCTGGTTTCGATAGCCGTAATACCTGAAATGGTTTTATTGTGAGGTTGTGAGCGTTTTGCGAGTGGTACAACGAACCTATTGTAATTTCCGTATTGAAATTGCTTGTGTTTCTCTTTGAATTCGGGCATCTTCTCGTTTTTGTTGGGAATTCGCCTGATGTCTCGGTGGTGAAGGTCCCGCCTGCTATTGCTACGTTTCAACCAACCCCCTGGTTGTGGTACGACGGGGCTGACAATTTTATCCATGCCGGAATGGTATTTGAACTTCTTAAAGACGTCCTTGTGATGTTCGTCGGATTTACGTTTTCTATCCTTTTTTAATTCCAGTGTGAGATCCTTTGGTTTGGCGCCATCGGTTACGGTAGTGTCTTCGGGAATTTTTGCCGAATCTGTGTTGGTCTCGGGTGTTTTTGCTTCGATGCAACCGCTATGATCCGCATCTGCCACTTCCGATGTACCTGAAGAGGTCCTCTTCTTCCTTACGCGTTTCTTCCGACATTTCTTTAGGGGGGAGCACAACTGCTGCTCGTACTCTTCGTTATCCGTACAAACCAAATTAAGAGGATCGTTGATATTTGGCGGAATTATAACCTCAACTTGCGCTTTTTTTCTAGGCGGTGTCGGTATCGGCGACGATTTCGGCGTGACCGCGTTAACAGCTCGATTTATCTCCTCGTCTTGTAAGCTATTTAAATTGAGGGGATCGCGTATGTTGCCTCCTAATAAAAATCGAGTTGGCAGTATAGGTCTCATGTAGTTGATTTTACAGGGGCCTCCGGAGCAAAAACTTTTGGCTCGCTTCCTACCATTTTTTAGGTTACGCAACTTTTTCCTGGCATTGATACCGCAATCAGATTCTCGTCGTTGCGATTTTGTTGTATGCTTTGTGGTAGCGTCTGCTACTGGAATTGTTTCCGTTTGAGACATTTTCGCCCTGCAACAGTGTATATATTAGCATGTTTCGCTTAAACCAGGAGGACCTACAGGGTGTCCCCTTTTTTACTGTATATCAAAAAAGGCGCCGCGCACTCTTTTTGGGTCAAACTTAAAATGGCACAATCAAAAAATTGTCAATTTCAGAATGACCCTTAGTCAAAGGAGATACAGAAAAGTCTTTATTACAAAGGTTTTTTTATGATTGTTGAATAATCTGCAGATTTCAAAACAAGTATACAGGATCAAGTAAAAGTTATCAGACCTCATTTTTTTAAATAGGACACCCTGTAGATTGCAATCTAAAACGGTAGCAAATTAAATTATCTTTTTAAAATATAGCACGCCATAGATAGTATTTTTTTTAAAATATCAAAAAATTTAAAAAAAGATTCAAATAATTCATCAAATACAAAAACATTTCATAAAGATTTTTGAATTTTTTTTAACTTGAATCTTTTTGAATCAATATTAAAATTCTTGTTTCTTTAACGATCATTAAGTGATTGAACAAGGATCAAACAGATTAAAAAAGATAATTCAATATTTCCCACGTTACTACAATACTCATTATTTAATTTAAATTAATAACTTACAACGGAGTATAAAATCGAATTCTATTTCAGTGACTATATCCATTTACCTTGTATGTGCCTACTCATATACAGATAATCGTATTCACCAAGAATACCCTTGGCTGGCACCAGGCAATATGGCCTCATATACCTTAGATTAATTAAGCAAATATATGGGTCAGTAACTCAGTACTTACACAACAATGAGCATATGAAGACATTGTTCAAGTACTTTTCGTTTAGTACTTTGAATGTGAGCTTTGACTTTGCAAATGTCAAAAATTCTTTTAAATACATACCCCCACTCCTGACAATGACAACGTACTCTTGTTCAGATTCAAATTTTTTTTTCTGTATATGGCTTGGCAGAAACTGGTGGGTGAATAATGCATAGTGACTGCTGAGCACCTATTGAAATTTTGATGAATTGTCTATATTGGGCTAGTTTTTCTAATAATCTGCGAAAGTCATGTAATGTTAAATAAATAATAAATAGAAAGCACATTTTTGATAGTAATAAAGAAACTTCTAAAGAATCTAAAGGAACTGGTCACACTTAAAGGTATGCAGCTGATAAGAGTCACCTTTGTTTGATTGAAACAAAGAGACAAATGGGGCAAAGTCTACCCCCTGACGAAAATATGCATCCTTTTTAACTGTTCTAATCAAACACGCCAGCACTGAACTCGACAACCCTTACGACGCCACTGTCTATATGATTATAAACAAATGAGTAATAAAAAAAATGAAAATAGTGTCATTTAAGCAATATCACGTGCTGCGTTAATAATAATTAAATTAATAATTAATAATAATGGACGAGCATCAAGGCAAAGCAAGTAAAGATCAAAATTACGGTAATTAATTCAATTACAGATCAAACTAATGAAATCGTTTGAAAACGAAATTAAATTTGCCTCCACCAAGGAGATACCCCATGAATCGTTATGCGCATACTCACTAGAGCTAAACATGCATCTTTACTGCATAGGAAATTGTTATTACAACGAATTAGCGAAAATATCCCTTCGTTTCTATTAAATTCTAATTATCGCGTTCTCGAACGATTAAACGTACCTTTATCCGTGATTTCGGGCCGAATTCGGTCGGTCTGGACCCCTCCTAACGCACTAAAATTTTATATTTGCACAGCGTAGAACTGCTACATCAACGTTTACGTGAGTACAACTGCAGATTGTTGAGGAATCTCAATAGCCGCCATTTTATTTTCGCCGACGTTTCGTACGATTGGGCACGAAGTGGCGCGAAGGTTTAAAATAAAAATGTTATCTAAAATTGTAACGGTAAACTATTAGCAACTACAAACAATGTACCTATTATAAAAATGTATTTAGGGCGGTTCAGTTATCATAATGCAGATAAGGTGAACGGTTCTCAGATTGAATTTACTTGCGGTTGCATTTTCACAATTTACCTCGTTTATTATGGTTTGTAAACTTTAATAAAAGAGGTCTCCACCATCTTACCGCATCTTCGATTTCAAAAATTTGATTGCGCCTTCATGTAACACTTTCAATTAATAAATTCAATGTTTTTATGTCAATTACAGCAATTTGAGCTGGTTAAAAAAGACCCCCACTTTTTTGACGGAAGTGCGCACGTTATGAAGCACACCAGGAATCAGAATCAAACAAAATCTGGATGATGTCGGTCGGTCTGTCTGTCTGTTTACACTTTTATTTTCGGCTAAACGGCTGATCTGATTGAAACCAAATTTGGTACTTACACGTATTCAGGCCTTCTTAGAGATAAAAGAACGAGCAGAGCACAGTCAGAAAAAAGTGTCCAATTTTTGACGTTTTTCCATATTATGCCCCCAGATTATGGCTAAACTACTGCATCGAATTGAATCAATTTCTATCTTGTAGACGATTCTGTCCAGTGGTTGCAGAGTGCTTGCTCCGCAAATTTAATGATCAGGAATCAAGCCTCCTTCGGTGGTAAGCGGCTTCAGGAGAATCCGTTCAGAAACCTTGGATATGCTTATATAGGAGCAGAGAAATAGATTCATAAGACTGCGTATCATGAGGAAGTTTCCCTTTCCACTGCTGCAAAACAAATTTGAAATAATGAATAAAATAAGTCAACCTCTTATACATACAACCAAAAATAATACAAAATTGAAAATATTTTAGTTGAAATGGACCCACATGTACAAGTAGATGGTTCAAATTCATGGCTCACTATTGGGCTCTCTGTAACAGTGAGAAATACAGTGCAAGTTAAATGGGGGCATTCGTTTCTCACCAAAATATCTACGGGTAACTAGATTTTGCTGAATCAACATTATGCCTATGATGGCGATACATTCAAATGAATTTCTTTTTTGTCCTCTTATTCTGTAAAAATCCAATATGGCGCCCACAAGAAAATAAGTAGGTACTAGATTCGTTTTTATTCAATGGTACTAGGGAATGCAATCCCGCAGCAAAATTCAATCCCGGTATTTGCGGGATTGTTAGATGTTAATCCCGCGGGATCCCGGTATTTGCGGGATCTCGCAAAACTTTAAATAAATTGGCAAATAGAATGTGGCCTGTAGAATCCATAATTTCAAACAGTTCCAAGATTGGGCTACTAGTTCAAAAGTTACAGCCTTTTGAATTTTCTTTCGAAATTGGTTTCTAGCATATAACATTTGATTGAGAAGGCTGATCGAAAAAGTACGAATTGTTTTGGATTCTACGCACCAAAATTAATAAGAAAAAGTGTTTTCCCGAGAAATTTTGGTGCAGTCGATTTTTGGTAAAAAGGCCCTCAAAAAAAATTTTTTTCCGCTCATGATCGTTTTTTTCCGCGCGCAAGCTCTTTTTTCGTTCGAAAACTCTTTTTCAGCTCGCGAGCGCTAGGAGCTGTTTTTTTTCGCTCGTGATCGCTTAACCGCCCTCAAGCGCTGAAAGATTAAGCCCCGTTCACGTGCGTTTTTATCGCACTCGAGCGGTTTTTCCCTCTCCCGAGCACTTTTTCCGCTTTTGAGCGACAACCGAGAGTCTTGATCGAGTTTACCCCATACCATTGTATTTGTAATGCAATTAATTTTATTTTTATATTATAGTAATTGTTAATTAGTAAAAACATGAGGGTAAGTATACACCCCCAATTTACTTGCTTATACCTGACAAGCCAGTATAATAGGGACTACAAAAAAAATAGGAAACCCAACGGCGACTTGTGCATTGCATTTCATACTCTTATTTTGTATCGATTTCGTTTAGTTTACAAATGAGCATAAAGTTAAAAAACAAAAAGCCTCGACTTAATCATTACGCAACCATTTGCAATGTGTTTGTTTATATATAAAAGTTGCTAAAAAATATATTTTACTGACTAAACGGATGGGCGAAAGTTGATCGTATGTGGCAACACAGATGAAATTTAAAACAAAACAGGTATTAGGTTAGGAATAAATCATAAACAAAACTTAATTTATAAATGTTTATTTTAAATATATTCTATTTAACTAAAACATTTTGCAAATGGCAAATAAATGGCACATTCCGCTCATGTTCTTACGTCAGTCTAATTCTCCATTGCGATTAATTTGGCACTAAGAGACTCGGGCGAAATGTTACCCTTTAAATGCCATTTTGTAAACAAACGGAATCCTTACTGTTGTCTGCATGGGGCGCTCGGTATATATAAAAAATTGAACACAATAAAATAAATCCACAATAGACTAAATTAATTTGGTACAAAAATCTTTTTACAATTGGAGGGAGCTACTCTAAAAGGAAACATGAAATAAATAGTACAAAAAATGAGCAGTCTAATAAAACAAAAATTTAATACCATCTACCTCTTGGTCTTCGTAACATACGCGGGGATTTAGGCGAGGCGGGCATTCGACGCGACCTCCTATTCTGTTTCGGCGTACTTACACTAAACTGTTTTTCTATACATTTTTCCTCAATGTTACTATCTAGTTTTTGTACACGGACAATCGGTTGAAAAAGAATGTCATTATTAATATCCTCGCAGCGGATTTTGGCGGCCAGCAATTTCTCGGCGTTCTCCCACTTTGCCAGGTCCACGTTAACACAGTCGATTTTATCACCAACACTAGGAATCACAACTTCGACGCAATTTTCCGTGGAGGACTCGCGGTGGTCCTTCCGTCTAGGAACGCCGACATTTTTGAAATATAGTTCGCCGTTAAATTTACTCACTTGCACGTCGCCGTTTATTTTGTTAATGTTCGATAATTTAATTTTGTCCTTACGATTATTTAAGTTATTGTCTGAGCCACTTTCTTCAGTTCCAGAATCGATACGCGAATTCTTAATACTTTCATTACCGTCCCGACTATCACTGCCTTCCTTGCGAAATGTCGATCGTTTATTTTTGTTGGGCCAACCGGTTCTGTTTTTCTTTTTCTTACGGGCCGGCTTCCGTATGACATTTTTCGGGTTAACCTTTGTCTTTCGTTCGCCACCATTCACCCCTCTGATACAGTCGTCCAGGCACTCGATGGCATCAGATTTGCAGCGGACGTCAATGGCGTCCTCCCCGGCGAGACGGTCCATCAAATTCATATCGTCATACGAATTCGACAGCATGTCGTCAATACTTTTAAATAAAACATCATAATCCGGCTCCTCCTCCTTTTCCTCCGCTATCACCGATAATTGCTTACTTTGGTCAGATACCCTGCACTTGTAGTCCCTCCGTTTCCTTTGATGAATTAAACTGCTTAAAATGGCTAAGGTGGACGCGTGCTGCCTAGGCGATTTCCTCGGGTTCTTACCCGATAAGACCTTCCTTTTTTTCGTCTTACGGAATACTTTCTGAGGAACTAAATCTACGCTCGCGTCTTCGCTACTCTTCGTATCTTCGCCCGTACTGCTGTTATAATCAGTCTTAATGATGTCCGCATCGGGCGTACTACACGCCTCCGACGCAGACGGCCCAGTGTCGCCCAAAATTTCCTTCTTCATCTGCTTGTAGGCGTAGAAACAGACGCGTGGATTAAGCGAAGGAAGCGGACCCATTTCGTACGGAAGTAAAAACGGTTTGTACCCTGCAAAAGTCAAGCCATTTACATTCGGAAAGTAATTTAATTGTTGAAATTTAATGGAATTTACTTAATTTCCAGTGGTACAGTCTGAAATGAAAATAAATCTGCATGTAACCTTTCTACTTTACAATAAATATAACAACTGCTCAAGAGTAAACAAAAAAAAGAAATGTTTCAGAATTGGTGTGGTCATTCGATTCCATTCGCTCAAATTTAAAAAGATTTTTAAGAAAAACTAAGACATACCTGCAAAGTAATTGTAACATGTGTAACACTCTTGGCCCTTGTCCTGCCGTTGAAACGTCGCATACCACGGTTCGGTGTTCGGAACGGTTTCAAAGGCGAATTTCAACTCTTCTAACTGAAGCGGAGGTTTCGGCGGCTGCTCTCTCATCCGCGAATGCTTGACGCCGAATTCGCCATTGTTTTTCGTCGTTATGGGCGACAAGTAAGAGCCTTGGTACCTTAATCTGCGAAGGAAATAGAAAATTAGAAAACACATTTATTTTACAAGAGTAGGGGGACTATATGGGTGCTATCCAAGAAAACAAATCATGATTATGGTATGGGAAAGAGGCAAACACGGTCAACCTAAAAGATACATTTTTCTCCCCCTCCCCCCCGCCCCATTTCGATATGGGGTAAGAAAGAATGGTCGTAAAATCTCTCAAAGAAGTCACGGAGTGAAGTTATAGTCGATAGAAACCAAGTCCCTTCGATGAGACCTTTTGTTAGAAGACCATGAAGTGCAGAAAGTGTTGCCCCCCTCCCCCCCCACACACATACACATTTAGATTGTCACCAAGACATATGTATGCAAAAGTTGAGACACATTGGTTATCACATGTAAAAGTTATACAGGGTGGTGACTTGCGTAACGCATCATAGGGATTTCAATGTAAAATTCATAACATGCGATTATTGGCTCCCCAAATTATTTTAGAGCAAAAATGTGTTAAGGTTTTTTGTAGAAAAAATTTTTTTACGCCAACCAACCGTATTAGTTTTCAATTTTTTGCATAATAAAGACGGAAAATTGGAAAAATAAAACCCCCACCTTTTTCAATAATCTGTGATACCATGGACTTTTATAATACAAAAACGACACCAATATCCGACATGCCATGGAATGTCTGCTATAAAACAAATCAAATTCTTTCAAAAAGTATTATATTTAGAACAGCGAATTCAACACAAAGAAAGACCAAATTACTAAAAACGGTTTCCTAATATAACAATTTACAATAAATGTTCGAATAAGTCACCAAATAACTGCAAGATAGTAACCAAGTCGATCATAAAATCCATTTCGAACTGCTGCTAATTGATAACTGGATACCTTTTTGTTTTAGAAAATTCCATGGCATCGCAGATTATTGAAAAAGATGCCGGTTTTATTTTTCCAATTTTCCGTCTTTATTATGCAAAAAATTGAAAACTAATACGGTTGAATGGCGTAAAAAATGTTTTCTACAAAAAACTTTAATACATTTTTGCTTTAAAATAATTTGGGGAGCCAATAATCGCATGTTATGAATTTTACATTGAAATCCCTATGATGCGTTACGCAAGTCACCACCCTGTATACATTTCACTTTCCGAAACAGCATCTCGGGAAATAATTCATTGAGGGGTGGGGGGGCTTACTTGGGACAACAAAATTTGAAGGTCGCCCGATACATCTTTAAGGTGTAGCTACCTATTGTAACAAATTTCCATTTCAATTCTCCTAAATTTTTATTTTTTTTGCCTTTATTTTTGAGTGGGCGGGGTTTCAGCCAAGGCTGCTCTACCAACCCAACCCACTATACATTTACAAATAACCATGCCCGAACCCGGATTCGAACCAGGAACCCTTAGCACTACAGTTCAGCTTTAACTGAACTGCGCCATACGGGCGGGTGGTAGTGTAAAACTGCAAAAATCAGTCCGGACAGACGGACAAAAAGCAAACAACAGCGCATTTGTTTTAATATTAAAAAAAATGCGCTAATTAAGAGTTGTTTTGTATTTCAAGAGGTAAAGAATAATTTGGGGCCATTTCTTGGTAACATTTTTGAGTTCTGATTAGAGTTCCAGATTGCTTTTCAGGAGTTCGTTATGGTAGAACATTTAACAATGTTATCGATTTATATTACAAGAAAAGGCACGGAAAAGAAGTAACTTACCAACATACCCACATAAGAAAACATGATAAAATCAAAAAACAAAAAAATTGCCATATCTCAGGATTGAAAAAGAAAACATTGGAATGGTCAAAATCACCATTGACAGTGCGAACCAAAAATATATTGTATATTTCATTCTGATATAAATGAGTAGTACAAGCACATGGCGATACTTATTTAATCAAGAAGTAGATTTCTGTGGGTTTTGAATGGGATATACAACCTAAAGTCACTAGATATAGAAAGTACCGCAATCATCCGCCATTTTTGGGCAAATTTATGCCAACTTAAAAAAATTGACAAATAAAATCTGAATAGCTGTCATTTTTTATAACCTGACTTCATAGTGCTGTCATATCTTATCAAAATATATACAGATATCTCCAAACAAGTGGAACACTCTCTAACATTAAAGTTACTAGAATCTGGTAACTTCCGCCATTTTGGGCAAAAATCATGCGTTCTCTCTCTGACACAAGAGCCCAATGGATTGCGGTACTTTCTATATTTGGTGACTTTAATACAACCTAATGGCCCGTATGAATAAAAGTAAGCAAATGCTTATACTTGCAAAATTCAAAGTAAATACTCGTAAGTGCTCCTTCGCCCTGGCCGACTGAGCAACGCTGCTAAGCAGAAGGACAGGACGCAGTGCAGCGCTGCTAAACCATGCTAAACAGACCAGTATGAAGGGGGAGTTACGAGTATTACTATGAATTTAGTAAGTATAAGCATTTGCTTACTTTTATTCATACGGGCCAATGGTTATCACCACCTAGTATCCATGACCAGAACTAAAATGTAGTTCTTAAACGTATTTCTGTTTTATAATCAAAGCTCTATAGATTCGTAGATTCAAGTGATCATATCTACAAGTAAAAAATAAGAGGAAAGAACCTTGCACTAAAAGGGCACTCGTCACCAATGGATAAAAAGGAGGTTAGAAGAGTGGGAGGAAACACGTCACCATTGGCAGTGGCATAATAAAACAACTTCCGTCGCGTGCTATGCTATTGCCCACCACCGTTACATTCTCTCCTCTTATTTTTTAATCGTAGGATCATATGTATGGGATAGGCAGCAAAGAATACAGGTTACAATAAAAGCATGTAGATAGGCAACACACATTACATCAATTAAAAAATCTCATCTTGTCACTTGCCAGAGTTACACAAACTGACATTTCAGATTTTAATTTGTTTGTATCGTGTTGCCTATACAATTCCTTACGATACCTTCGACTAAAGAATCTAAAACACTAAGATCAGCACTCGACAATACAATACATACCTAGAACCGGGCGTTTCGAACTTATAATATCTTTGATTATCCAAAATGAAGGCCTCTGCTTGTGTTAACCTACGTTTCTTCTTAAGAACGGACGCCTCCGACGAGTTGCTGTCCATCGATGCATCGTCGGGTTCGATTTTAACCGCTTTCGGTTTCACGTTCTCATTGGTAACACGTTTCCGGACAGGTTGCGGGGGTGGTGGATCGGTCGTGTCAGTATCATCCGAGCTCGAATCACATTTGTGTGGAAACAGGAAACTCTCCGCCTCATTATTTAGCCTTGTTATTTCAGACTGCTTCTTCTTCTTGGGAAAACTATAAGCTACAAATTGTGATTAGCGGAGGCGGTTGATAGTGGTACTACTAACCTTTATCATCTTCACTATCCTCAGATACGACAGGCGACTTCAACTTCCGTACCGATCTCAGTTTACTACTGAATACTTCAACTTTGTAATAATTGCGATTGTCGAACATAAGTCGTTCTTCGGCCGACCCTCGCTTTTTACCTATGCAAGTTCGTTTCGATCGCCGCGATTCCCACACTCCGATTTCGGGCTCGGCCTTCACCACACGACTGCTCGATCTGAGCTCCCTCATTGGCGTAACGGGGTTGCTGTTGTCGTCGCCGGACGTATCGAGATAATTGTTGACATAAGCCGTGTGTCGCCGAGTTCGTAATCGACGGGTGTAATTCGTAAGCGACAGCGGAGATTCTTTCAGTTTGTAACACATTGATTGGGCACGCGTTCTTGGCATTTTATTTCGGGTCATTCCATTTTCGTTCAAAAGCAAATCGAGAGTCTTGCACACTTCTGGTATTGAAAGTGACCATGGATTGTTGAGTAAAAGTTCATGACATACCGACTTGAGAGTTACGTCGACATGTAAGTGGTCAAGGCATGTCTTCCGGGTCATGTTCTGGACACCAATTCGAAGTCATAAGATGATTTTTCGATGATTACCTGCAAACAAATGGCGGAGTTAAACCAAAACAAAATTCAAATAATTCAAGGTCAACGACTCGCTTTTTGGTTAGGCAACGAATTTAATCAGCTGATTGTGCGAGCTTTAATTACACAAATGTCAAATTATGTTATGTTTATTAAATACGGGTTTGTTATGTTTTTTCTGGGTGTGAGAAACGTACTACGCGTAAATCAAGTCGGCCGCAAATTAACAATTTCAATTCCTTTAACTCACATTTCACTATACACCTTTTTGAAATTCCTCAGGAGGTTATACCGTAGTTTCCCCCAACAATAATGGTAGAATTATGCATTATGTACTGTCAGATAAAACTACAAAATGGGCCCACTTTAGTAACAAATTATCCATCTAGTTGGCGTTGGACAGCCGGCGGTGTTGCCTATGCGGAGTAATTTCGGCGCGTAAAAATTTACGGCGAATTAAAAGTAGTCGGGCAACAAATTTTGTACGGGATTTACGCGTGATATTTGGGAAAATTGAAGTTTGACTAAAAAAAAGCAGTTGACAATTACGGCATAATTTATGGGGCAGTGGGTTAATTTTGAAAGAATGGGAGTGGGGATAATTTAAAACACCACGACGGCAACGTAGCCATGTTTCACAAGAGAAAAGCGAGACCGACGAGTACGGGACGAGACGTGGACGAGACATTCGGCGGGGTGCAGTAGTGTACTGCAATGCTAAGTACTTGGCGTAAGCGTAGTGTAAAACAGGACGGGCATTTACCTAAGCTCGTGTTGCACTTGTGCGTCCTATCGCAGGAAAACGTTGTGCCGACCGAGAAGCGACCGTTTTGTTTTGGAAGCATAACTCACGCTGTGTTTGCACATTCCGCTTACAAAACCTTCAAACAAAGAAGGCTCGCCAGCCTTCTACGCCTGCTAATTGATTTCTCGTCATTAAACACTCACTTGTATTAATTACAATCAAATCATATTCAAACCGGACCGTGACAATTCGAAGGTGCACATTTCGTATGCGACCCACACTAATAACACCAGCAAATCATACAGGTATCACACTAAGCAATAAAAAGAAAAGACTTATTACCACTGACACGTCAATAAATTCCGGTACCGTCGATCAGTACAGCCGTTGGGAAGCGGCACTAGGCCAACTGGGATCGCCCGCCAGAGAACACAACAGCCATAATCGCGTACGCAAGCTTCACACGCCCTAAACCGCCACGGAAAGCTGCTCCAGTTCACCTACAACAGTTTTTGTAACTTTCGCGCACAATTTTACAACGTATCCGCGCTCGGTGCAGCGATAAATTTCGATTTCCTCATCTTAGAATGCAAATTACGACATTTTTAAAATATCGTTCAGTCCGCCACAATTCTATCGTCTTATTAACCAATCGCGAACGCTTACGGTTAGCGCCGTCGTGGTAAGTATGCGCACTAGATCGGCCCGCCGTTCACTTCAAACTTGCGCGACCGTTAGCGGTTTGACTGTAAAAACGGAACTGAATTTGGAGAGAAAAACGCTGCACATGTTAGTCGAGGTCGTTTCTCGTTGTGGAATATTCGCTTGCCTATAGCGCAGATAAAAGTCGACACGGTTCATAGTAAGGGGTGCTCAATTTCAATATGCATAACAGTGTTGTCGCTTGAATTTTCGCAAATTTTGTCAATTACCTCAACTATTCCCACACATTCGTAATCTGTAACAGGCAATCATAGACATTAGGAAGATATTACTAGAATGCTCATTTTTCATTGAAGTTATATCGTTGGTGGGGTGGCCTAGATTCTTAGATTTACGAGATAATGCATGTCTATGCCTAGATTACATTGTATATTATTCAGTAGCGGATTTTCCATAAGGCACAATAAGCTATAGAATAGACTCAGTATCACCGCGTTCACTCCACGATCAAAGTAAAAGCCCCCTATATAGTAGTACAAGAAAATTTTCATTCGCGATCAAAATGTAACGTATAAATTTAATTACGTGATTTATTTACATAAAATTAATTATTAATGTTCACAGGAAACTGAATTAATGGTTTTATGACTTTCTTGGCGTCTTAAAAACGATCTAGAATATTCGCTACATTACCCCCCTCTTAAAACTGTGGTGTATCAGAGAATCAGTCTTAGGTGATTCTCCTTCTATAACGTGACCTTGCTGGCGGTACTGGCACGATGACTCTCTTCCACTTGAAAAAAGCAATCGAAAGGGTTGCGGGGTTCCTCTGGGGTTGAAACAACAGACCCCGATACCTGGAAACACTACTATGCCAACATATATTCCGCATGATGCGCCAGTTTTTTGTTGTTTTAGCGCATTCCAAACATCCTTGTAACTAGGTTCATCACATGATCTGCAGGAAACATGCTTTACCAATTTCGGGATGTTGGAGGTGAATTTTTCAGAAACAACCAAACTGGAATTTGAACTCTACGGGTATACATGACGTCCTTGGCAGTGTGCCAAAACGTAATCTACTGATATTTCAAACAAAGCTTTAAATTCCTCATGGACAACAATAGAGCTGTTGTTTCCCTTGCATCACATTGGGAGCTTTTGAATGTTTCCTGGGCAAGCAAACACATCTTGGTGGGGACAAATTAACTTCTTAGCCTAATTCTTTTGGCTTGGTGTCACCTAGCACCTGAGGATCCTTATTGTTTAGATTTGCCAAGGCCAACTGCAAATATTATCTACCAGGATACACATAAATATATTAGATATAGAAGAGCTAGATGGCTCTGCAATCATTTACTAGTAATCTAGGGACTTTATTACTATACTGCCATTGACATAATACTATGACTAAGGTTGCCATCTCTAAACTGTGCCAACTAGGACAGGAAGCGTGAAAACTCCGGATTTAGAGATTATAAACCCGGACAACTGAATTTGATAAAAAATATTTTGTAAAGAAATAAAACAAACAATGAATTTTTTCAAATAAAACGAAGTATACTCTATCACGAAACAAAATCTTCATTAACTGTTAGGAATTAGAATTAGCAACGCTTACATACTTTTTAAATTCTTTAAATGAAACAATAATATAGTTTTTTAACAAAATAAAATACAAGTTAAGCTAATAACAATAATAATTATTGTAGATGCAGTTTTCGCGAGCTTGTTTAGGCATCATTTAGCTACTTTTTCATAAAAAAAATCGAACCATTTGAGAAAATTAACCATTTCTGTCGGAATAAAGTCCCTAGATTGGACTTTATGTCGGAATGTCGAAAAAAGCCCTCAAGCGGCGATATGTGAAACTAACAAAACTTCAAATAGTATATTTGTAGCCGAAGAATAACTTTTTTCAATTAACCCGAGTTTGTTAAAATCGGCTCAGTCGTTTCGAAGATACAGGGTGTTCTTTACGGAAACCTTTGAATACCCCCCACCACTTTATTTTTAGAGATACAGGAAAAATTGTCAAACAAAAAAGGTTCAGATTATCTTCAAAGACCGGACATTTTTTTGTTAGATTAATATAGCGGAATTCATAGAAAAATCACTTTTAGATTCCAGATTGCAGTTACGCCCCTTAGCGGCCATTTCAGAAACTTAAAAATATTTTCCAGGTTTTTCTCGTGGCCGTTTTAGTAATACATTTTTTACCGCAAGCCTCTACAATGGACAGGTTCTCAGATACAGTACCTCGCATTCTTATTTGGCCACCCTGTATATTGAATAGATGTTAGTAGCCTAATACCCGGACTACCCATAAAACCTCGCCCAGACGCTCCCCGGACGCCCCCTAAAGTAGGACAAATCCAGGGAAACCGGACGGATGGCAACCCTAACTATGACAAAAGTAAATAAACTCACTAGGAGCTCGTTATTAATTTGGTACTGTCCTTGTCAATCATCTTTTATTGGGTTACAGTGACTGTCTGAAACGTAATAACAAATGTGACCAGAAAGGAATGCAATGACTTAAATATTCTACCTACTACACAAACTTTATTGCAAAACAATACGAAATTTAAACTATGCATAAGAGTTAACACAGATATAAAAATAATTTAAAAATATGTACAATATTTACAAATTAAATACAAAAACGTCCTTAAAGTAATGTAGGAAACAATTCCGAAACACTCTGATCCCATATGTCTGGTTCTTCCATACTGTGTGGCGAGTCCAACGATTCGTACCCGCAATCGGAATTATAAGGTGAAGCTTGACTTTTAACGTCCAACATTTCCACAGTATCCTCGTGTACATGTAAGTCATTGTTAACTGTCGTCACGACTTCCGTAACAGCCTCGCTCAATCTCAAACTGCTGTCACCAACGATGATCGTAATGCAATTCGTCGACTCGTCCAGCGTTCCATAAAGTATGTCCGAGTTGTCGACCGGTTCGATTTTCGGCATTATAAGTTTGGGCTTGGTTTTTGTATTTAATTTTTTCACATTTTTGACCTTCTTTGGTGCCGGTTGCGGCGGTTGCTTTGCGCTGTAGTTGTGGTGCAGTAGTAAGTAAGGTGATATTTCATCTTCGATCGCCGGCTCGCTCTTTACACTAACACATCGACTGGATTCCAATTCTTCTGATGGCGGCCCCACCACTGCTCGGCCACGTTCTTCTCCACCAAAGATTGGTTCCTGATAAAACAGAAGAATTAGTTTCGATTAGCAAACTGAGCCCAAAAAAACAAAGGCAAAAAAGGATCACATGTTCACTTGATTTTGTAAGTACTCGGACTTAAAAGTCAAAATTTGAGCTCTGTACTGTTTGTTCATAATCTTGAATTTTTTTTTTACAGCACCTCTAGTGCTCTTAAATACTTGCATGAACTCCATTGGGACTATTTATGGGATTTTGAAATACCTGATGCCTTTTCCAGCTAATAAGCTTTAAAAAAATGCAGAAACCTCTGGAAAAGGTTCTAGAAAACAGTGAAAACACTCCTTTTTAAAGGAAAGGGTCAAAAAGTATGCTTATTGGAAATTCGAACATTAAAGTCCGAGTACAAAAAAATCTACAAGTGGCCTTCGCGACATGCAAACTAAACATAAACAAAACTGTGCAATGATAAACGGCTAATTTTTGTTCACAGAAAATCACCTGAGAGTCACTACTTGTTGAAATTCGCATATAACATCCGTTAAAGCATTAATGTATCTACAAATAGCAGACGATCTAAAAAGGTTGACGGCGCATCATTTTTTATTTTAACTTACTTCGCAATTTGTCTTTTGAGCAGCAGCCTCCAGGTCTGCGGCGATATCCTGCAAGAGGCTCTGGGTAAGTTCTTCCAGAGAGTCGAGGTCAACGTCTTGGTCGAGTCCATTGAGCAGGTCTGGTAAAGAAGGCAGGCCAATACTATCTTCCAAAGTGCAGTTACCGTTTCTGTTCTCAGAGCCGCTGTTGAATAAGTGTCCCGGCCCTTCGGCAGAGGGATGGATGCTGCAGATCCTTGTTGGACACCAGATTCGACGACACGGCTGTGATCGCATTTACAGGTATTCTGTACATTTCGTAGCTTAGAGTTTTCCTCATTTAATTTCTTATTCGTGGCCCTTAGTTCCTTACACTCTTTTATCAACTCCTCGTTCTTGTAAAAAAGCTCTTGAAGCGCCTGCTCCATCTCCTCCATTTTCGCCTTCTTTCGGTCTCGTGACGTTTGAGCGGCGACACGGTTTTTCAGTTTCCTAAATTGAAATAGTTAGCAATATTTCGTCAGAGTGACATATGGCAAAAACTTACTTTCGTTGGACTTTTTCCTCCCATGTCAAATGATCCAGTCTGCGCTTCTTTGCTCTCGTAGATGTTCGGTCTTCCTCCTTGATGAAATTCATGCTGTCATTGCTTAAATATTTTAAAATTGCTGGCACGGTAACACTCATCTTAAAGTTGCTTTTATTTGAAAATTTTTCGATCAATGTTTATTGTTGATATAGACGATACGTTCAAGATAAGGTCGACGCGTTGCATCACTCACAACTTAACTCGTTCTTCGACTTTACATTCTTTCTTTTAAGGAAACACTTTCTACGCAGTAATTTGGAACATGATGATGAAAAAATCAATGAAATTATGAAAAAAAGTGATGACGTTTCGACCTCTATCCTTCAAAATTGATGTGGGTTGTTCTGATTGGTTCTCGTTTATTGACGTACTACACAGTGGCGTAACTAATAGCATTGATAAGTTATAAATTCAATGCTAAAAGGAACACAGTGGCGGAGTATGATATTAAATTACGACTGAAAGTTGAGAGCGTTTATTAATTATCATACGTAACTTAAGCCCTAGCAGAGCCGGATCGTAAAGCACAACATAAAGAACGTAACCATGTACGTATGTCGTATATGATCTTTATTAATAACGGTTCATTCTATGTGCATAATGTGAGCAAACAAAATTCAAACTCATTTATAGTGGTTAATACACTGTTCGAGGCGAGTTGAGCAAAATGAACTAGTAAATAAAAATAAATTAATTAATCAAATTGTGTAACGGGCCGCTCCAGAAAGCTTTAGAGCAACTGGGGAGTACGGACATTCATTGATACTGTTCACGATGTGGAAACGTGGCAAGCTTTAGGTACACTTGGCGCTATGGGAATCGGGAAAAAGCTTATTATAAGGCATATGCCCTAGGGCTTGACGCTGCAAATAAAACTTCTCGTGGAAACGCTCGCGTGCAGCGTGCACATCATTGGTACAGATTTTTAAAAATACACAAATATAGAAGAAATAGTGAAAATAATGAAGCAGCAATGGACGAAACGACGAGGACTGTGATGTGGCAGCTGTAAAAACAAACGGACACATAAGAACAAATTGCAGCCAATAACCATGGATAACTCAATGGGAAGGATCAAGCAAGTTAAGCCCCCTAGTCAGGGGACTGTGTTTTTCAGAATCAACCAAATTCGGTAAAACGGGTGCACCGAAGACCATCGTAAGACCTGCCCTTGCGCGAAAGAAAAAGTTCCTGTGCAGGGGGTGCTGCCGGTCGATACTGGTATTGGATAATGAATGGGCGCATCAAGTGTTGATAATAGGCACAGTCGATGAGGTGATTTTGGAAATGGAAAAGGAGACAAGCTGCTACGTGTAACGCTCGTGGATGAGGTCACCCTTCCGTAGCATTGTGATGACTCGCATGGATGGAAGTCTCCGGGAAAACTGCTTGGAAGTACTGGAACCCCAATATGGGTTGAGGAATTTTGATTGCAAAATTGGTTAGTAAATGCTAAACCTAATAATGAAATTGAACTCATTCCGTACCAAGTTAAGGGCCCTGATTGGCACGTGCGTCCCAATAGCTGCAGTAGCGCGTTGTGCGAATACAGCCAAGAGTGATGATACTTCAATGTCCATTAAGGCTTCAAGTTGTGATCACTAACCCCAACCTCATGCAAGAATCTGATAACAAGCCAAAATTGCCAGGCTAAAATATGTTTACTTCAGAGAAAGAAATTGTCGACCGAAGCAATATGGCAACACATAAAATAAATGCAGGAGATGCGCAACTGTAAAAGATAGGAAAAATCACCACGTGTATAACACGCTCGGTGATGACGGCCAGATGTCGCCGACTATACATCATGTAGCCTCACCCCTAAAGTTGTTAATTACACGACTCCGGTGGGTACATGTACACTCGTCTTTTCTACAAGCCCGCATATGTCAGGTACCAGCCAGCCGGCCAGCCATAGTGAGATTAAACGCTACCTTTTTATAAATAAATTTGCCAAAATGCACTAAAATGTGTTCCGAATAGACGCTAGATAAACTTACCTACTTATTCTCATAATGAGAGCAAAAATGCGTTACGATAATCACGTTCCGCCCTGTATACCAATTGGATGTAGGGGATTTTAGTAATAAAAGCGATGCCGCATGAAATTCCCTAAACCGAGATTTTCGGGTTTTCGGGACGAGGAGGTTGTTTGCACATTTAGTTTTAATTTTTATTTAAATATTTTGAAATACGTAGAAAACTCTTCATAATATAGAATGTCCCTGAATCTGCAATATGAAGCAATTGGAAAAGGCTTCGTACAGCAATATTACGCACTTTTCGATGACCCAGTACAACGACCTAACCTGGCTAATATGTACAATGTATATCTCACTCAAATTTTGCTCAATTTACTCACTAATGGTTGAGTTTACAGGTTGAAAGTTCATTTATGACTTTCGAAGGGACACAACTGCAGGGCTCCGTTAAGATTATGGAGAAGTTATTAGTAAGTGAGTTCACGACCGACCGTTTGTTGGTACTAATATTGCAATTTCAGAGTTTAAGCTTTCAAAAAATAAGTAGAGCAATTACAGCTATCGATTCTCAGCCAATGTTTGACGGTGGTGTTATAATCAACGTTTTAGGAAGATTACAAGTAAGTGACTATCCTCCTTACGCCATCGTGTCTAATTAAAACAATTGTAGACTGACGAAGACATACCCCAAGCTTACATCCAAACATTTATCCTTAAACCAATTGAAGGAAGCTTTTTTGTCCAACATGACATTTTCCGTTTGGTTCTGCATAATACTGCGTAAAATTAGTACCGGTTACCAATTTCCTTTCTTGCAGTTTTGCAATGCTTTTAAGAAACACATTTCCGTTAATATTATCAACATTTCTGTGTTCAAATTCTATTTGTGCTATCCGTATAAGCTTTAGGTCTCAATTTTCGATTAAAACTATTTTGTAACGTTTGTACTAGTTTTATTTACTCGAAAACAACAGAATCAACACCAATAAACTCGCTTAAATAAATAAAAAGAAACAACAACAAAAACAGGTACACGTCCACAACGAAATGAGTATTACGTAGATAGCTTTCTAAACCGGCCGTTTCTGAAACCGCGCAAGGTGCTCATGGCCATCGCCCGATTGAAGTGCCGCTGTGGCTTTGCATCGTATGCGTCGTCGTCCGTATTGGAATCGCCCGACGATAAAATTACCAAAACCACTCCAAAAACCTACAACCATTCTATGTAAATGCACCATTAATTTTGTAAAGTTGTAACGCCTACTAATACAATCGGCATGATCTGTTTGGACCAAGTCTAGATTAAGTGCACAGATGAGCGGCAATGCGGCTCGTTTATTATTTAAAATGAAATGATAAGCAAAACGTTTGATAAAAACTTCAACAGTACATTTTTGGTACATGGTCCTTCCAAAAAATGTACATAATGCATCAGCCGTTTCCAGGAAACTACAAAATGATCCAGTTTATCCATCCGCATGTTTATTATATGGTAAGGGTTTGTCCATAATTTTAATAAATAAACCTGCAGAATCTAATTAGTAGGCCGTTAAAAATTATAAACACCAATTAAAATTATAAAACAAACGAAAGACTCTTGCATGTTTTTCATAGTTCATTTTAAAAGATCAAATTTAAACAAATGCGTGAGCTTAAATAAACCAACCAGTTTTTCAAGGTTAAACTGCTCAAGGGGTAGATTTAGATGCCGCATAAATAAGGTAAATTGGTTGAATACTAAGCCGCATGAAAAGCCATATTAAAACAAAATAAAATGAAAACAACATGTGTGAGCTTGGTAATTGTTATCTTCCTTTTATAAAAGCCAGTTTTTGTTTCAATGGAGAGAAAACCGAGATCGCAGATACTAAGCTGAATTAATGTCTCTTAAATTTGTCCAGAATATAATGCATAAAATCCAGTTTTACCCATTTTTGTAATTATACCTGCTGTAGTGTGTATATCAAGGCAGTGACGAAGCAAAGCCGACGCTGTGCGGCCCACCCCACCCGCCAGAAAACTTACAATTCAATGTTGCCATTTTAGATAGTGTATGGTTGGTTGCCTAAGTGGGAGTAAGTTCCCGATTATCATTATTTTTGTCGGTGATCGTACAATGTGTATTTAATTGTAAAACGTGATCATTCTGGTCGTTTTTATCGGACAAAGTTTAATTAACGCACGTGTTGCTATCGCTGTTTGGAAACGATAAGGCGTTTCAAAAAATTGCGCGTTATTTCGACAAAGGTGGGGACGCGTTCCTTCGAAACGGTATCAAAACGATTTATTCGTATAACAGAAAATGATATGTCGAGTGCGAATAAACAAAGTAGTTATCAGTTTAGTAAAACCTTTCTGAAAGGTTTGTCTTTCATTAAAAACTACTTCAGAAATGGCTTTCAGACTAAACAATGCAGGAATAACACGACAGTTTTTTTTTGGCCAAAAATCGACCACCAAAATTTCTCGGGAAAACACTTTTTCTTATTAATTTTTGTGCGTAGAATCCAAAACGACTCGTACTTTTTCGATTAGACCTCTCAATCAAAAGTTATAGCCTAGAAACCAATTTCGAAAGAAAATTCAAAGGGCTGTAACTTTTGATCTAGTGGTCCAAACTTGGAACTGTTTGAAATTATGGATTCTACGGGCCAAATTCTATAAGAAAATGTCTTTTCCCGGTCGATCCCAGACAATTTTTTCTTCGAGCCAATAAAAAGGCAGTGTATAACCTTCCTTTTTGGTGAAAAATCGACTACACCAAAATTTCTCGGGAAAACACTTTTTCTTATTAATTTTGGTGCGTAGAATCCAAAACAATTCGTACTTTTTCGATCAGACTTCTCAATCAAAAGTTATGGACAAAAAAAACCAATTTCGAAAGAAAATTCAAAGGGCTGTAACTTTTGATCTAGTGGTCCAAACTTGGAACTGTTTGAAATTATGGATTCTACGGGTCAAATTCTATAAGAAAATGTTTTTTCCCGGTCGATCCCAGACAATTTTTTCTTCGAGCCAAAAAAAAAGGCAGTGTATAACCTTCCTTTTTGGCCAAAAATCGACCACTCCAAAATTTCTCGGGAAAACACTTTTTCTTATTAATTTTGGTGCGTAGAATCCAAAACAATTCGTACTTTTTCGATTAGACCTCTCAATCAAAAGTTATAGACTAGAAACCAATTTCGAAAGAAAATTCAAAGGGCTGTAACTTTTGATCTAGTGGTCCAAACTTGGAACTGTTTGAAATTATGGATTCTACGGGTCAAATTCTATAAGAAAATGTTTTTTCCCGGTCGATCCCAGACAATTTTTTCTTCGAGCCAAAAAAAAAGGCAGTGTATAACCTTCCTTTTTGGCCAAAAATCGACCACTCCAAAATTTCTCGGGAAAACACTTTTTCTTATTAATTTTGGTGCGTAGAATCCAAAACAATTCGTACTTTTTCGATCAGACTTCTCAATCAAAAGTTATGGACAAAAAAACCAATTTTACAAATAGAATACTGAAACCTGAAAGTTCTACGATACTTCGATAGATTAATAGGCGCTCCTTTTTGAGCATAAAAAATGCGTTAAAAATAAAATCATCCAATTGAAACAAAGAAATCGGTTTTAAATGAAATAGATTCTAACAGTTTAAAATATTTCTCTGAATTTGTGTTCTGGAGTTATAATGTCAAGTTGTAACCCCAATATAGATTTGGTCCTAACGGCTAAAAAAGGTAGTGGTACAAAATTTCATTTCTGCAGTACCAAATAAATATTACAAAATTGATACATTCTCTTCTTATTAGTAGCAGTTACAACTTAATGAACTCCCCAATCTTACCAGTGAAATAATGATGACTAATGTATAAATGTGCAGCCTCGACGCCGGCATGCTTTCCATCTCCTTCAAAGCCAACTGGGCCGGCTCAAACCCGGGCTTAATCTCGAGCGTGTGCTTCAAGTGTAGTGACGCCTCCTGGTAGTGACCGTAGGCCTTAAAAATCTCGCCCAACGTAAAGTACTGCTGCCAGGCCGCCTTATCCGGAGGTTGCATTTCAAGCGACCTCCTCGTAAGGTAAATGGCGTCGTCTAAGTACTGCAACGTAAAAAGTACACGCGCCAAATTGAGCAAAACCTCCGCGTTATGCGGCGCCACCGCTAACGCCCGCCGAAAGCACTCGATCGCTTTGCGAGCGTCGCCCTTTATTCTCCAAAAGTTGCCAATCTGATTGTATAAGTGGACAGACTTCGGCTTCTAAAATGACAAATGCATGCATAATGTTTACAAGAGGGAGTTTAAGGTACAGAAGAGCCACATGCAGATCTTGTTTTGTACTCAGACCTTACATTTTATTTGACTCTCAAATCAAAGTTTGAGAAGTTGGGGTTTAAAGGCAAAATGAGTGCATACACGCACGAGTGGCAGCACTCAGACCTAAAGATCATGCAGAATCCTGGAGCAGTTCACATACGAGACCCAAATTGGGATCCTGAAAAAATCCCGACATCGACATCTTCTACACAGACTGTTGCAAATCAACAAACGTAGAAAAGCACTACACTATATTTCAGACTGAACTGTATGTGATCACTAGATGCGGAACAGAAAGCCAGGGATGAGACTACTGTGATCCGAACATATGTAACCTAACTGAGAGTCAAATACTACCAAAGGAGCTAGTACAATAGTCAAAGAGTTTATTAGAGCATTTATGCTGAAGATTGGCAAAGATATCCTGTAGACTGTGTGAAGAGAAAGACGAAACTGCGTACCACACTCTTCGAAATGGGTTATGGTTATGGGGAAGGTCTAGAAAGCTTTGTAGCAGCTGCATAAGGATTTCCTATGTCTACTTTTAAATGACAAAAACTCTTCTGAAAGACGCCTAATTTTATGCAACAAAAATAACATGCGCACGCAATCTGGACTGTTATTCTGAAGAGATATGTAAATTCGGTCGCTATTTCCCTTAAGTTTCTTATAGGATTATCTTCCACAAAAATGAAAATGTTCAGTTTCATATCCTCCCTTAACACCAATTTTAAAAATTTAAATTTAAAATCTACACATAAAATAAGTCTCTTACATTTCTGATATATTGATTGACAATCTCCACTTTTTCTTTAACTGACTACATCGTACACGAACGAAAGTAAAAATATGGGAAGGCAAAACAATAATATTACCACAATCTAATATTCCAATTAATTAATATGACAGTCAGATCTTCATTTGTTTTAAGCAGTTATTTTGGTTCATAAAATTAGGCGTCCTTCAGAAGAGTTTTTGTCATTTAAAAGCAGACATAGGGAAAACAATACACACAAATCCCCATGTCTACTTATAAATGAATATCACTGTAGAAAGCTCTGGTAGGAACCAGAGAGCTTTGGTAAGGCTCTTAAAAGGTCATCAAAGGTACCCAGATTCAGAGTTTGAATTCAAAATTTCAATTAGGGCAGCTACACACCTAAAGGTGCACCTGTCAAAAACAACTGTCAATCCACACCTATACAGGTCTACCGTCCATCTCAGTTGATTAAAAATGTTTTAAGACAAGTGGGCTCAGGAATTCATACACATCTACAAGATGGAGGGTGGGGTGGAGCAGGTGCATAGAGATACTATGGACAGATGCACCTTTAACCTGTCACCTTATCACTTGACAATTACGAAAACTGAGCTTTTGTTCATCAATATTTCCAGGTCGACTTGACTAAGTCACCTGTGACAGGTCGAATTGGCATGTGCTTCCATAGTATACAAAAAATCCATGTGGCCCTTCCATGCCTTCGTAGGGTTTACCTCTTTTTTGGCCTTTTTAAGTTTACGCTCCAAGGTGTCCACCTCATCTTCAAGGGAGTGATTTGTCCTCGTGACCTTTTTACTTTTCGATCCGAATATCAGCGAAATTTGCGGTTCCGGTACTATGGGATGACGGTTTCGATTTGCTACGCCGACCAAACCGTCGTAGTAGGTGTAGTTAACAGGTTTGCCGCAATCTAATACTTCATCGTTATAGGTCAGATAGTTTAGTTTGTTTAAGGGCTTAAAGGTCGATTGATTTTCTTTCGAATCGTTCCTGCAAACGGCATTAAGTGAGTCGTAAGCAAGCCGGCACTTACCTCAGTGTCAGTTTGGGGGAGATTGTGCGACAACTTGTGCAAAAGTACTCGTTGTCCTGCCTAATCCACGACTGCCCGTAATGTACGGTGGACGTGATTATGTTAAAAATTGGATCTTCTTCTGTTAGGTGCACGTTGGCGATTGACACTATGGGATTGAAAGGACTAGCTTCGACTACTTTAGTTTCGTCCGAATTAAGCTTCCACAGCGTCGAAGTGCGCGAGTTAACGGAAATTATATGAAAAGATAGCAGGTACAAGGCATAAATTGTAATGTTTTGGGGTTCACTGATCATATTTGTAATTTTAATGCCGAAACTTGTTAGGAATTTTTAAAGTCGACATGTTATGATAATATGTTGCTCGTGCTCTCATGTTTATTTATGATTATTTTAATATTATCACACTTTTGTATTAAAAAATAACCCCAGTAACTTTTATCATGTTTTGACCGTGTAGGGAAATATTTCTTTCGACATTTTTAAGTTGCAGTTGGCTGGCCTTTGCATAAAGATATGACCACACTGTGACCTTGAGTTACTAAAGCTACATACAAAGGAGAGGACTGTTACAATAAATAATGTATATCGAAACATTTGAACAATGTCGAAACTATTCTCAACAAAAACAATGTCCAATTTGGAACTAATTTTGTGATGAAACTCCATCCCTATAGTTCCATATAGGCTACAGTCCCAAAAGTTTGAGTACAGCCTTGGAAATGCCTCTTTTTAATCTGTGAATTTAGAAACGTGTTATACACATCAAACTCAGGCAGCAGTGGCGTAACCAAGGGGGGTGCTTTGGGGCTAAAGCACCCCCCAAAATTCTAAAGAGAATAAGTACTTACACATATAGACAAAAGAAGTGGACAAACGATACGAATTCGATGTTCTGGTTGTCCTAGCGTCAGGGTTGAGTTTTGTACTACTGCTTTCACCCCCCCCCCTCCCGGAAAAGGGTGGGTACTAAGACAACTCGAAATTCTAGCACCTCCCAAAGCAAATTTCTGATTGCGCCACTGTCAGGCAGTGCCACACGTTTCTTATTTCTATTCCTTTGCTATGGTTTGTCTTTTGATGACCATTATTTGAACCATTGTTATGGCGAAAGAGGACACATGATAATTTTGAAAAATACTCGCTTGAACAAAATTTCATTCACGTATCTGGGGAATTTCAACGGTATGGCAACCCTACATCAGGGGCAAAAGCACCATATTGTAAAGAAAAAGATGATAAGAAATCTGATCATTCCGAGCAACCCGGAACTAGCAAGGCAAAGCGAGGACTGTTTATTATTTTGGTCCCTTGCAAGTTTCACTATAATGGCCTCGTTCGTTTCCAATAAAATCTCTTTTTATTGAACCCTGTCTTTATCCTGTTCCATCTCGTTACACAGTCGCCGCCAGCAAACTTCTGCCGGAGAGGGGGACGATGTTCTTCGTACCCTTGTTAGCCCTCTCCAGTCGTCATTTTGTGTTCGGCGCTACTTGCCAAGAGGTTTGACATTAGGGATATGGTTTCATCCGCCTGTTTGCAAAGGTAGTCGTTCAGTTCTGAAGGGGTGTTGTATTCTCTGGTGTTTTCCCACGTCCAGAATTGCTTGGATCTTGATGGTGTTTAATTTTCTAGCGTTCAATCACCCTTTATTTACCACACCTAGGTCTAATACCGCGTAAGGACTTACGTCCTAAGTAAAAGGGCCTATTGAAAGAGAAACATCGGAATCTCCAAAGAGTCATAGTTACTCCTCTCTTGTGTGTTATATAATAACAAATATCATTGTAGAGAACTAAAATGTATAAGTAACAATGGCGAGTTTGTTTTAAAAAAGGGTGATTTGAATTGGTTTTATGAAGATTTTAAAAAGAAAATTAAGTACAATTGTGTTCCTGGACTTTATTTATTATATTTATGTACATACACACAGCAAAATCCTAGAGATCGTATTGTGACCCACAGCCAACTTTCCCACTTGCAGCTGTAGGTAATCTCCTACCTCAAGATGTGTAGGCAAAATGCAATATAAACGGAGGAGACCACATCCCCTTATTAGGAGTGGTGGGGAGATGGAACCATATGGAATTATCACAGATCTACACATACAACAGATTGCTAACCTTATGGATTTTATGGGAAACACATTTAGGTGTACTTAAAAGCGCCCTCTATTGAGCAGCAGATAATGCACACTTAGTGAAGTAACAGACGAAAAACGTCAAACGTCAAGTAGGCGGAAAAACCGTTTTTAGTTTGAAGACATTATTTTTGCACAATCGCTCGATGGGGCGGAAGATAGATTTGGATAGCACCTGACCGTTAAGTCGCACCCACTGCAGTTAAGTTAATATGCCATTAATGCACATTCGACGGTGTGGTTCCCTTGGATCAATGAGAATAAGTAGATGAGCATGCAAGCAAAAAAGTTACTACAGGTACTTACCTACCTCAAAAATTATTAGAGTAGGTAAGTAAGACACAAAAATCGGCAATATCGTAGATACTTCACAGGAAACTTAAAAAACGAAAGGCTCGCAAGCAACAAATTAACTAGTCCGAAACAAATCCCAAAATAAATTCACTGTTAACGGAGGAATTACTACCCATACAAACAGAGAATATCTTCAAACTAAAAACGGTTTTACCGCTACTTGACGTTTTTCGTCTGTAACTTCACTAAGCGTGCATTATCTGCTGGTCAATAGTGGGCGCTTTTAAGTATACCTAAATGTGTTTCCCATAAAATGCATAAGGTTAGCAATGTGTTGTATGTGTAGATCTGTGGAACTATGAATCATAATATGTTGTACCAGTTACTCCAGCCTGTGGAAGACTACTCCCAATGCTTTATTTTGTGACAATTGAATAAAAATGTCTCGTTTATAAAAGCGGTATTTAATAGTATAGAATAGTACAATAAATTAAAAATGTAGTTATCATAAAATTCGTGCTACGTCTAAAATTGTAAGCAAAAAACTATGACTAGACTAGACGGTCTAAAAATCCTCTCGGCAAACCACTGTTTATAAGACGCTCTTTGGAATAGTTACATATTTGGGGATTGTAATGCAAAAGAGCTTCCCAACAGATTTCGCTTAGTTTCGGAATGCACAGCCAGACGGAGTAAATATCACTACTCCTTCTAATTTGATCACCTCCATATATACCACCGAAAACGTACATTTTTCCTTCTGGAGACACTGCGGCCGAGTGAAAATAAGTAGGACTGGGCAGGACGCATTTCTGTATGAACGTCCACTGCATAGTCGACAGTTCCAATCTCCACAAATCATCGAAGACAGTGTCGCCGTCGTACCCTCCATTGATGAAGACCTGAATGTCGTTATCGGTCTCAATTTGAACGGCCCCGTGACATCGACGCGGTGACGGTATACCAGTGTGATGATAACCGGATAGTACGCTCCTGCGGTCCCTTTTCGCTATCGCTTTCGACCATCTTTTCAGTTCGATATTGAAAACAGGAATTTTCTTAAAACCGAAAGCATTGTCTGCCGTCCCTCCACCGAGGATGTAGATGTTTTTCCCGTCGAATGCAACTTCGTGGCGGTAACGGCCGTCCGGTTCGTAATCGGCGCGTCCCTGGCAAATGTAGACATTTTCCCACACCCTTTCTTTGATGTTTAACCTAAAAAATATAAAGTCAATAATGCGACTGAGATGTACTGCATACTGTAGATTTTTAAAAAACCAATCGCACCGTATGAGCACTTCTGCACTCGGAATCATATTTACCTTTAATTCCAATTCATTGTATCTCAAACTTTATCAAAATCAATGAATAGTTTAAAAGATGCCAAAAGGGCACTTTTTGAATTTTTTGTCTTCCTCTCAGAAACCAAATTTTAGCAAAATACTTTCAAGAATATAGATAATTCTATACAGGGTCATTCTTGACGAGCGTCAGTTAGAAAGATATGGAAAACCTTTGAAAATGAAAATAAACTGATAAGTTCTTTAAGGGTCTTGGTACATGATGAATTGAACTAAAATATTTTCAAGATGGCGCCACTTCCGGAAATACCGGAAGTAGCCATCAACTTTGTTATTTTAAATAGGGACCCCCTATTTTTTCTACATTTTCGGATTCTACGTCGAATTTGGAATACAACGATACCCCATAGTTGACCCTTTGCTCCAAGGGCTTCGTCGATATTCAAGTTTTTATGTCAAAAATTGAATTTGCAGGGGTAATTTTAAAAATTTATTATTCGAAAACGGTGAGATATTGAAAAACAGTTTTCAATTCTTTATTAAGGGAAGATCGAATTTTCTTATGGTATACGAATTTATTTCGGTAACTCCATTTTTTAAATGGCAACCCCCATGTTGTTCTTCACCGTTGTTTTACTTTTTCCTAGACCTTTAATTTGATACAAAATGTCAAAACATGCTTCAAACGGTTTCCGAAATATTCCATGTTTTAGTTACTTCTTGTAGCAAATTAATAAAAAAATTAATTCGCTTGGTGTTATTCTTTTGTTTTTATTATGATATAATGTTTAAACGTCAAATGTTCGCTGCTTGAACTTCTCGTCAATAATGGCTCGTTTGGGTTACACTAATGAAGATTTTTTGAATTTAATAATAATACACGCTGAATGTAATCGAATCGCGGCCAGGACTTGCCGTCTTTTTTCCGAAAGATACCCTGACAATGCGCAACCCACAGAGGCTACACAATTCGCAAATTACTACAAGCGAAAATTTGACGTTTAAACATTATCATAATAAAAACAAAAGAATAACACCAAGCGAATTAATTTGCTACAAGAAGTAGGTAACTAAAACTATCTCGGAAACCGTTTGAAGCATCTTTTGACATTTTGTATCAAATTAAAGGTCTAGGAAAAAGGAAAACAACGGTGAAGAACAACATGGGGGTTGCCATTTAAAAAAATGGAGTTACCGAAATTTAAAAGTTGAGAGCTGTGAAAAAGTGACGTAGTCTCACTTTTTTAGACGGTTTCGTACCATAAGAAAATTCAATCTTTCCTTAATAAACCATTGAAAACTGTTTTGCAATATCTCTTACCGTTTTCGAATAATAAATTTTTAAAATTACCCCTGCAAATTCAATTTTTGACATAAAAACTTGAATATCGACGAAGCCCTTGGAGCAAAGGATCAACTATGGGGTATCGTTGTATTCCAAATTGTGTCCAAGATTAGGATGTCTATCCTGAGGTTCTCAGAAACCATAGAATATACATATACCATACGAAGATGGTCAAATTAGGGAAAAGTTTTGCAATTAACCAGTTATTATCATACTATAAAGAAAACCAATTCCGATTACTTCCGAAGATAGGTATGCTAGAAAAACTGAAATTGGCCGATGTGGTTTTTATGTTTTTCTGGTGTTATTTGAATTGATATAAAAAAATTTAAAAAATCATCATCAACTTTATTTGTTATATGGCCCATAAAAAAAGTACACTATTGCCCTTGGAGCATTGGAGATTATTACGTATATACGAACATACAGCACACAAATCAAACAAGAGTTGGAAACTGTTGGTTTCAACAGGATGGTGCACCCGCGCACAACGCCCTATTGTACGAGAATATCTATCGGACAAATTTTCTGGAAAATAGAAGTTTGTCCGATAGGTATTCGCACGATTAGGGCATTGTGGGCGGGTACACCATCCTGTTGAAACCAACAGTTTCCAACTTTTGTTTTTTTTTAATGTGGCATACACAGAGACTAGGTATAACAAGTCTCTGGGCATACATTGTTGTAGTCCCCAAGGAGGGTACTTTACCACATTTTCCATGCATTGATCAGTATTCTCCAAAAGGTTATATGTGCGCTGTTATTCTTTACTAGAAACATAAATAAAACAAGTTGTAAAGTTAAAGCGCATTTTTTGGTAATACAGGTCAGTATTTTATTAGCGAAGTTTAAAATTATCGATCTCACGAGTAATTTTGGCTGCGTTAAATAATTTATTTTATTTAATTTAAATTGAGGGTACGTCCTTTATTTTGTAAAACAAACCACAAAGTAAATAATTAAGTTTTTATACTGGTAGCGCTATCTAACGGTCAAATTATAGTACCTCCGAAAACCATATCAAATTTTCTTCAATTATCGATCTCATAAGTAATCTAAATCAAAATAGCCTAGAGCCTGCACATCTACATTATAGCAGAAAGCTTTTAGTGAAAATGTGAAGTCTCTAGCCATTGTAGTTGCTGAGATCTCACCCGGCCAGCCAGCCATAACGAATATAATAGCGTATTTTTTCAAAAATGCGCTAAAAATTGCAAGGGCGCAATCTGCGCATGCGCACTTCTGATTTTTACAATATGTGATAGTGATATGCTTGCCATTAAATAAGAAAGTTGGTACTGCGCATGCGCACACCTAATTTTTACTACATGCGATATGTTTGTCTTTACTAAAAGTACCTGTTGTTAAAATTTCAAGATAATGTTTCAATAAACAATAAAGCTGACGTTGCGCAGTCTGCGCATGCGAACATCAATCGTCAAGGTTTTCTTGGTTCAGGTGCCAGAGCTGCCAGTTATCGAACAGCCTGAATATTCTTTATTTTTGAATAGATTGTTGCTAGTATTTTTGAACGTGGTTTTTTGTTTTCAAAAATTAAACCTCGAATTAAACAATCCATAATAACAAAGCAAAAAAATTGGAAAAGAAGAATACATTACATTCAGCTCTTAAAAATGCAATTCTTTCCCCATTTAATTGTTAGTCTAACTCCAATATTATTTACAGACTAAACCATTTTTATTCCTAAAAATACTAACTGATAAATCTTAAGAGAGAGTAATACCTTGCAGAGAAATACAGTGTGTAAAGCGATGGGGTATACTAAAGTCACTAGATATAGAAAGTACCGCAATCATCCGCCATTTTTGGGCAAATTTGCTGCCAACTTAAAAAAATTGACAAATAAAATCTGAATAGCTGTCATTTATTATAACCTAACTTCATAGTACTGTCATGTTTTATAAAAATATATACAGAAATCTCCAAACAGGTGGAACAATCCCTAACATTAAAGTTACTAGAATCTGGTAACTTCCGCCATTTTTGGGCAAAAATCATGCGTTCTCTCTCTAACACACGAGCCCAATGGATTGCGGTACTTTCTATATTTAGTGACTTTAGGGTATACAAGAGGGAATTTTTAAAAAAATATTTATTTATGAAAAAAAATATTCTTCATAGGTAATATTTTTTGCTTGCTTTGAAAGTACCAATAATGTTTCGATTGTTCGTGGTTTGATAGCAATACTCTATCTTAATTATAATGTAGAATGATAACCGAGATGATAACTTTCAATTAAAAAAATTAATTTTATTATTTTTCCAGATTTCTATAAATAAATTTTAGATCATCGAAAAGTTATTGGTACTTTCAAAGCAAGCAAAAAATATCATGAAGAATAAATTTTTTTCATAAATCAATATTTAAAAAAATTCCCTCTTGTATACTCCATCGCTTTACACACTGTATAACTAAAAAACACAGTATACTGTCTTAGAATAGCAACTGTAACGCAGAAGACTACAAAAAGTCAACATTTTGTGAGTCATAATGAACATACTGCATCTGTTGCTTAGTAGTGCCATCATTTAATAAGTTACTCAACTAAGTGGCAATAATTGTTCTATAAGCAACAGAACCCGCATGGAAAATTTAATGTTACATTGCAGTGTGTATCTATTGTTTGCATACCTGTGAATATCGCACGAGTAGGTAAATCCGGTCGTACCGCCGATTGTGTACAGGTAATTATTATGGCACACTAACGCTTGTCCGTATTGAGGTATGGGATGCTGGCCGGTCGTATTCACTTCGACCATCTGACCGCTGTCGCTATTCAGCGCGCAGAAGTACAGTTGGTTACTGGAACGGTAACCGAAAGGCGAGCCGGTACCTCCATAGACCTTAAATGATTTTAGCTCCTATTCACACACATTCTTAGCAACAAGCTGCTTACACAAGCGTATACCATCAAATAATTTCCTGTCCGTACGACTGCGTTCGACGCTAACTCTTGAGGCAACGTCCTCCGTCCGCTGTAGCACTTCCATTTTTTGGTCGCGAAATTATACTTCCACAACTCTTGGAACAGGGGGTACGAATTAATGTTGAGCTCGTCGTCATCGTCTCTAACTTCGTCCTCACTTTGCGTTATTAACGGATTATAGCCGCCGAACGAGTACAAGTTCTTTGTGTCGCACACTATCCGATGGCCACTTCTCGGTAAGGGTGTCCTCGAGTTACTTTTCACTTTCTCGTATTTGTACAGTTTGAAAACGTAAACACCGTTTGTTTTGCAATTGCCCATCTGAACGTATAAAATGTGTAAAATGCGATAAAAATACCCGAAAAATTTAACAAATAATGTCAAAAACATGCGAAATCGTACACGTTGTAAATTCCGGACAGCGATTGGAAATTTCAATTGTGAATAACATTCTTGCGTATTTCAAGGATTTATTTCACAATAATCGTCTTAAAATTTTCAAAATTTCTAATTCGAGATTAATCTTTTGCCTTTAATAATCCTATTTATATTACACAATGTTATACTATCTTTTATTAGCAATGCGGTAGACAAGGATAACATGTCATTCAAACAGCTGGAGCTTTACGACGTTGTCAAGTTGCATGACATGCCACATTTTTATTTTACTATCGATGTATACAGGATGCGTGAACGCTATTAATAGATTCCTGTACACAAACCACAGTTTAACTACAACAGATATCTAACCACAATCATTCACAATGCATTTTATGCTTAACAAAATTTAAATACCTTCGGAATCCTTAAACGCGCCATCTAGTTTACGATTAAATTTGAATTTCATTCTCATTCTAAAATACATATCTTTGGCATAATTGTTTATTTCTATGTATGTACCGTATGGGTGCTACTCCCTAAGGTACAGATTTTCAGATGGCATCAACGACCGTCTGTGTGACCTAACAACAGTCGCGGTATAACTACCGGGACCGCAAGCTTTACATGCCCTCCGAAGGCTGGTAGTCAGGAGATGTTCTGTACTACTAAAAACTGGCAAGTTGTGGGATTCTAACTACCACCTGTGAGGTTAGAGTCCGAGTCTTAAACCATTTATTTCCAAATAATGTATAATGTAATATTCTAAGTAGGTACATTTGTGTTTTTAATTGTATTTTTTCTATATTTGCTACCTGTACTTAAATGCGAGCCATTTTGATACAGATTTTCATTAAGATACAAGTTTACGACCAATAGATATGCAGCATCAAACTTACCATACAAACGTATTCATAACTCACAAGATTCCAATGCGCTGGCGGTCATCTTGAATAAATTTGACACTGATACTTCGCTAGAACGCGTTACCATCAAGGATGCGCATGCTTTGAGGTCGCCGACTTCACTACCTGCACACAATAAAAATCTCAAATTTTGGAAGCCTGTTTAAATTTTCTTCATAAATGGCAGCAAAAAACTTGCTCATCTTTCAAAGCACAAAGGACACTAAACACATCTTGGAAATTTTTTTCTCCCACTAGTAATGACTAGTATGCCTGTTGAACATCCCATTTTTCATGAAGTTTGTCTCATCGCTCCATATAATATTTGCTAAAAATGTTGCCATCTTTTTGAACTCCGCCCGGTTTGGAGGATCTTGGAGCTTTAAATGGTGTAGAAGTTGAATCAAGAATTTTTGTTAGAAAAATTAGCCATAATCTAAAACTCAAAAGAATACTACTACCTGGTTTGACAGATATTATTCATTGAAATTTCCATGGCAATCATGATTTGTATAAAAAAATACTTTACTAAGAAAAACGTAAATAACTTGAAAATTATCAATTGTAGGTATAGTAGGGGAGCTAGCACGAAATCCACTGAACGAGAATGATCAAAATTTTAACCTATGGAGTTCCATTTTGCCCTATCAGAGTATGCTAAAATCGATCGTCTGCCGCCTCAGGTCATACGACTTAAGGCGCTGCGGGTACTTCTTGTGGTACCAATTCTGAAAGGTTGCTTTTCGAGAAAATAAGTTATACACCAAATGAAAACGTTGATAATAGCTCTTAAAAAAATATTTAAAAAAATCGCGCACATTTGATAACTCCGTAAAAAAACAATTCTTAGTCGGTTTTTCACGAACTTTCTACGGATATAACTAGGTTACCGTTGGAAGAATGAAGCTGATTTTTTTTACAGACTAATGAGAGGTACAGCCAATGACTATGAGAGTGTTTCTTTTTTAAATTTTTTCTCTAATTATAAGATATCTTATAATGTTAAGATAATAAGATAGTCTTGTAATTAGAGCAAAAATTTAAAAACGAAACACCGTTAAGTCATTAGTAGTACCTATCATCAGTCTGTAAAAAAAACCAGCTTCATTCGTCCAACCGTAACCTAGTTATATCCGTAGAAAGTTCGTGAAAAACCGACTAAGAATTGTTTTTTTACAGAGTTATCAAATGCGCGCGATTTTTTTAAATATTTTTTTAAGAGCTATTATCAACGTTTTCATTTGGTGTATAACTTATTTTTTCGAAAAACAACCTTTCAGAATTGGTACCGCAAGAAGTACCCGCAGCGCCTTAAGTCGTATGACCTGAGGCGGCAGACGATCGATTTTAGCATACTCTGATAGGGCAAAATGGAACACCATCGGTTAAAATTTTGATCATTCTCGTTCAGTGGATTTCGTGTTAGCTCCCCTACTAGTATTAAAGTCACTAAATATAGAAAGTACTGCAATCCATTGGGCCCGTGTGTTAGAAAGAGAACGCATGATTTTTGCCCAAAAATGGCGGAAGTTACCAGATTCTAGTAACTTTAATGTTAGGGATTGTTCCACCTGTTTGCAGATATCTCAATGAATAAAGAGATATCTGTATATATTTTTATAAAACATGACAGTACTATGAAGTTAGGTTCTAAAAAATTACAGCTATTCAGATTTTATTTGTCAATTTTTTTAAGTTGGCAGCAAATTTGCCCAAAAATGGCGGATGATTGCGGTACTTTCTATATCGAGTGACTTTAGTAGGTATAGGACAATAATGCCATCTCAATCGAAAAAATCGAATTAATATCTCATCTAAAAAAAAGGGCATTTGTAAATACATTTAATAAAGACACATATTATCATTATTATTATTATTTAGGCACGCTGAAAATTGATACAATGAAATCAAATAGGAATGAGCGTCCGCAGATGCAAGCCATAATGAATCGCATCCCAAATGAAAATCACTAGTTACTCACCTAAATGCACCACACCACCACAATTCGCTTATAATAAATGAGATAAATGCAATGGACATAATTAAACGCCGGTAGAATGTCGATTGTTTTTATTTAAAAAAACAAAAGTAACGTAATTTATAAAAGAACAAAAAACTTTATTTAAATAGTAGTATATACGACAATACATCGAAGTAGGACTTTTACACTGAGATGATCAAGTTAATAACGTGTCATCTAAATCCTCTTCTTTTCCTTCTGGTTGATTCATAATTTTTCTCAAAACTTTACTTACAACGTCCGACAGTGACTCCCGCGCGCCAACATCGAGAATTTTCAAGCACTTCTGATGCACGCTATCGCCCTCCTTTAGTTGCAAAACGGCAATGAGGGCGATTTCCGAATTTGCCTTCACGTAACTGTTCTTCTCCTTTGTCCCATTGACTAACGCGGGTAATAATAACTTCAACAAGTCCGTCGCCATTTTCTCTGAAGGAACGGCACGCGCTAAATGTATTGAAACTTTCGCTAGTAACTGCTTCACGTCATTACTGCTGTTGTTCATCGTCTAAAATGAGAGAGTCAGTATTGTGAAGTACTCGGGACGATTAGCAGAACCTTAACGAAGGGTACAAGCAAATTAATTGGGAGCTGCTCGTCGTTGAGCATGAGATACTGTAACAGATACCCGCAGGACCGCACTGCGGTTTGTGTGATAGGAACACGATCGGCTGATAATTGACTAAGTAAGGTGCGTATTAAGCGCACTCTGTATTGCTCATCCCACAATAGATTGGCGGATTCCTTCAAGGCCACCGATAAGGTGGCTGCACGTCCTTGCCGAAGTAACCAATCGAGATGCGCTTCGTCATCTACAAACATATTGCTTGAAAGTATACAGTAATTTTTTTTTTTATGTTTTTAAACAATTTTATTTGCAATATGTTAATGTTGTTAAATTCATAAATATAATAGAATTAATTAGATACTTGAATACTCACTGAGAATGTGTTCGCTAAGTACGTTATCTAATTGTGAAGGAGGCAACCATTTACAGAGAGCGCCCAGACATCCTGCCGCCGCATTTCTGGTAACGTCTTCCTGGTGGCTCAACAAGCCGACTAGCGTGGGGAAAATTTGTTTTTCGATTGGTTCTGACATTTTATTGCCGGCCGGAGTGATGATACCGCGAAGCGCGTGTAGCGTTGTTTCCCTAATTGAAGAGTCGTCGGTGCTCTTTATCGTATTGTGCAGTTCTGTAAAGAGAGGATCCGCCCTTTGATGTATTAAAATCAGGTAGCTCAGTGCGGTGGCCGATTTCAATCTCACGGTGCGATTCGGATCGTTCAGTGCTTTGACGAAGGTCGTCTGCAGTTGCGGTAGAAATTGTTTCAGCATCACACCGACCTTCGCCAGGAGAATTGCGAGCGTTTCCAGTACTGACGATTTAACGTTGGCGCTAAATCGATCGCCGAGTATTCTGATGAGCGGTCCGGTAATCGTGACGACGCTCGGCTGTAACGCCTGGGCGCTGGTAATTTTTATTACTTCGCCCAGACCTTGGGCCGCCGCTTCTTTCTCGTCGCCGTCGCCGTTTAGGATCGCCTCTCGGAATATGGGAAGGACGGGGGCGATGCCTTTGGGTAAGCAAAAGCCTGGCAGTAGATCGGAGGTGCCTTTCATATCCGACATGGCGAAACGCACGGCCTGGCGGACGTCGGATACGTATTGTGCTTGCTGTTTCGGGTCTAAGGTCTGCAAGTTAAAGACGGAATTAACGGGAAAATACGGCTACCAACTGTGCAAGGAGCAATTCCACACATCAGAGATTCTATATTGGTATACATACGCCTATGAAATTACTACCAAAATTGTCCTGCAAAATAACAGCACAGTAACTAGAAATTATGACTTCATGGACAAATATGTAGGTATATCGGGCATGTTACATTCTCCCGATTTCATTTTTCATTGCTTTAGGTTCGGCGCCCAACTAATGACGCCATACCGACAGTCTTGTTAAGGCGAGGCTTTACAATTCAAATTTTTGCGATTCTACGCGCCAGAAGGAATAATTTGTGTGAATTAGTGGAAGAAATACCGATGTAGAAGTCCCGCCTGGATATTAGTTTCTTTGAAACATTGACAATTGTTTTGGAAGTTTACGCAATTAGCACGAATCGTCTGCTTTACGATGACCGCGTTGTTCGAATTTTGCGATTTGCGTTATCTGGTAATTACCAAATATAGTGCACAGAGATAAACAATGCATAGGAATAAACGCTATAATAAACATGGAAAATTCATCAGCTAATAAAAACAAATCTAAGGCATATTTAGGTTTGAGTAGATGGCGATAAGTAAACATAAACGTATTCCGTTGACAGAATGGATCATCTCTAATTTTAAATAATAAATAAGATAAGTATATATTTTAGGGATGCCAGGGATTGTCAAGCTATAGCCGAATCGGTTGATGATGACAATAATTACGCTAATCCAGATTTGATTCGGCAATGGTTCTTGAACATAATTATGATGTAAACTGTGATTCTGTAGTTCAACCTTCGTCTCACAGTCCCGCATCACCACCAATTTACAATTCAGATCAAGAAAGGAAAAGGTATAGTAACACACGCATGGATTTAACTGTTGATTATTAAGGATCCTCAGAGCCTTTCTAGTTTTATATTGTCGTCCGTCCGTCCGTATGTGCGAACTCTTTTTAAAAGTAGCCAGGAATTTGTTGCATTGTTGGCAACCACATGTACAGGGTCGCCAAATAAGAATGCGAGGTACTGTATCTGGGAACCTGTCCATCGTAGAGGCTTGCGGTAAAAAATTTGTTACTAAAACGGCCACGAGAAAAACCTGGAAAATATTTTTAAGTTTCTGCAATGGCCGCTAGGGGGCGTAACTGCAATCTGGAATCTAAAAAAGTGATTTTTCTGTGAATTCCGCTATATTAACCTAACAAAAAAATGTCCGGTCTTTGAAGTTGACGATAATCTGAACAATTTTTGTTTGACAATTTTTCCTGTATCTCTAAAAATGAAGTGGTGGGGGGTATTCAAAGGTTTCCGTAAAGAACACCTTGTATCTTCGAAACGATTTCATGAAAAAAAATCGGACCAATGCATTTAATTTTTTTGAGAAAATTAACCATTTCTGTCGGAATGTCGAAAAAAGCCCTCAAGCGGTGATATGTGAAACTAACAAAACTTCAAATAATATATTTGTAGGTGAAGAGTAGCTCTTTTGAACTAATCCGACTTTGTTTAAATCGGCTCAGCCGTTTCGAAGATAAGGGTGTTCTTTACAGAAACCTTTGAATACCCCCCACCACTTCATTTTTAGAGATACAGGAAAAATTGTCAAACAAAAATTGTTCAGATTATCGTCAACTTCAAAGAACGGACATTTTTTTGTTAGGTTAATATAGCGGAATTCACAGAAACATCACTTTTTTAGATTCCAGATTGCAGTTACGCCCCCTAGCGGCCATTTCAGAAACTTAAAAATATTTTCCAGGTTTTGCTCGTGGCCGTTTTAGTAATAAATTTTTTTACCGCAAGCCTCTACGATGGATAGATTCTCAGATACAAAACCTCGCATTCTTAATTGGCCACCCTGTACTATCCGATCAAAAATGAGTTGCTGTCCAGTCGCCTTTTTTTTGTTTACATGGAAAATCGTATTTAACTTGAACTTCCAAAGGCGATTCGACAGCAACTCATTTTTTGGATCGCCGGTTACTTTGATCAAAGCATGTCAAAATCGTTATTCATGCACCAAGATTGTTGGGAAGAGCATTTTCTCAATGATCAAGAAATGAATTTGATGCATTTTTGTTGACTATATACACGGTGTCCATTTTTCGAGTGCCACTATGGGGATCTCGCTTACCTTAAGAGATAGAGAGTTGGTTAAATGAGAGCAAAGTTGCGAATTGTCGTGCTGAATAATCTCAAAAGAAATTTAAAATATCTTCAGTAGTTTTAAAAATATCGCAAAAAAACGGAGATGACGGAGAAACACGTAGCAACTTTAGTTTTTCTTATGGAGCCGTTTTAAATTTCGACATATGAGATTACGTCTTTTTTTTCTCTTTACAACGATACATCACAAATGGTGGTTCAGTATCACATTTTTCCAAAAAATACAATTTTTAACTTTTTGGGAAGAGAGCCTTGGAAAAACAAAACGTTCTTTTATTGTGAACAAAAGTTTGACAGTTTGATCCATCTGTCTGGTTGCAGCGTTGGCAGGGAACTAGTGTTGAGAAAATCGGATTTTCATCTGAACAGAATTGAACCTTCGTTTTGCAAGAAAATTATAATTCAAATTAGAACAAAATACATAACAATAAATAATATTGTCGCAATAAAACTAGCACAAACGTAAATGACACTACTTGAAATAAGTCAACCTTTTGTTCACAACAAAAGAACGTTTTGTTTTTGCAAAGCACTCTTAGCAGAAAATGAAAATTGTAATTTTTGAAAAAATGTGATACTGAACCACCATGTGTGATATATCGTTGTGAAGAGAAAAAAAGACGTAATGTCAAATTCCAAAATGGCGCCCATAATAAAAACTAAAGTTGTATAAATGTCTAGTACAATTAGTTTACCATGAAAAAAATATAAAATAAAATCAGAAATTTTCGTTTTTTTGTGATATTTTCAAAACTACTCAAGATATTTTAAATGTCTTTTCAGATATTCAACACGAAAATTAGCAACTTTGCCCTCATTTAACGAAATTCCTATCTTAAGATAAGCGAGATCGCCATAGTGGCACTTGAAAAATGGACACCGTGTATGTATTTTGCAAGGTGAAAATAAATGGTCGTTAAAAAGTAATGGTAATACTGAGGATCCTTCAATCAGTCCAATTCTGTAACTTAAAATAACCTCAGCAACTTGCTAGTAGTGAAGGTAATTGCTAGATGAGTAATATTTGTTAAAAGTGGTACTGACAACCTTGTTGCCTACAATTTTCACAATTCAATTGCTTGACGCTAGCAATAGGTAAAGTGCTGTTGTTAAGTCTTAGCAAGTGTATTTCACCCGTTCAAATATGGCAGGTGGATGGTTTAAATACGAATTTTTAAACGCGGTTGAAGATTCAATTCTTCCCATAATTCATCTAGTAATTAATATCGTTTGGAGCAGCTCTTTCAAGAACTAACATGGCATTTTTAGCGAATTTTCGAAAGAAGTTGGGGCAGCCACTTTCTTTGTCCGTCTGTTCGAGGCCTTAACTACTCTTACAGTTCAAGATATTTAGGTCGTTCTTTTTGCATTCGGTAGCGTATAACTCTGGCATCTGAGCCAAGCAAAATCTTGACGATTAAATGGAGCAATGTCAACTTTCCTATTCTTTATCAATCCACTTATTCCTATTTAAGTATAGATACTTTTTTGAAATTTTAAACATAGATGTCTCTAGTAAAGATAAGCATATCGCATATTGTAAACATCAGATGTGCGCATGCGCAAACTGCGCATGCGCAAACTGCGCAACTGCCAAATTTCTTATTTCTTATTTATAGAGAAATTTTACAGATGCTTCTAGGAAAGATAATCGTATTGGGCACCTGAACCAAGAAAAATCGTAATAATTACACTGCGCATCCGCATTATGTCCAATGTCCATTCAGTGACCTTTTAGGAACTACTAATCAATGCATGGAAAATGCGTTAAAGTTAAATTGTCTTAGGGCGAAAACTTTTTACTTGTTTTTTAAATTGTCCACTTTCTTCTCAAGTTTTACACATAGTAGGTATGAATGCCTAAGTGTGAGTTACATGGCATGATAAAGGTTTGGTACATGGTGGTAACTAATCTTTAGGTTATTCTTAAATAATACTGACCGGGGCCAAGCTCTCCTAACAAAACATTCAAAATGGCGGCTACTTTAAATTACGTTATGGACGTTTTTATTGATGGCCCGCAAGAAGGCAGAAAGTATGAATTTAATCATTAATTTCGGAATTTAGAAGTACGCACAGACAGTGTGATTCTTCTATGCTACGATATCCTGAGCTTAAGGCTGATGAATATTGGTGACCAAAACTGTAGAATTCTCTAGCCTCTCGCCGCGAAATTCACCGCTAGCTCCTATAGCTATAACGTAGGTACCTAGCTATAGGTAAGTAAAATTGGACCATTTTGTGTAAAATTTATTAATGGAAAGCCATGGCAAAAGCGTACGATAAAGGCATTTCTGGGCTGCGAATAATTTTAAAGGATACCGCTCTTAAGTTTGAGGACGTAGTCAGGAATCTAGGTGTTATGATGGATGTGAAATTTGAGGAACACATTAATAAAATTGCTTGGGTTGGTTGGCTGAAACCCCGCCCACTCAAAAATAAAAGCAAAATAAAATTTAAAAAAAAGTGTTAGTAGTACTTACGCTGTGCTTAAACTACTCTATGGTGCGCGTCACATCCTTTACAAATCAACAAGAGTCATTTTAACTGAGGCGCTCGTCTTATCAAAGTTTAATTTTTGTGATACACTATATGGGCCGTGCATTAGTAAGCGCTTAGCTCAAAAAATTCAAAGAGTTGCCTAAGATATATATTTGGTATTAGAAGGCGTGAGCTCGTCTCACACAATCTTAAAGAGTTGAAATGGTTTGATATGGAAAACAGAAGAAGATTGCATTGTTTGCGGCTTTTTCATAGCATTATTAGTACAAAACACCCCCCCCCCCTTATTTATGCAACAAAATCACATTTAGAACAAATGTCCACAACCTCAATATTCGTAATAAAGGAAAGATTTCACCTCCACAGCACAATACATTCGAATCCGAAAAGTCTTTTTCTTATCACCTTCCTTTGCTATATAACATTTTTTCGCCCAATATAAAAAACCTGAACGAACGGCCGTTTTATCGGGAATGCGAAAGGCATCTTCTGACTTTACAAAACTCTGTCATGTAACAGATACACCGAACGTGAACATTTACAATTTAAGTTTTATATGCTGCCGCTGAAATTTTTGTTTTTTATTAAGTTAAATGTACGGGTTAAGTGGAAGACCAACTACGTTGCAACCGAGGTTGCAACAGTTCTTTTTTTCTTTTTGTTATATTTCCGGTAAGTAGGTACCGAGGTAGGTACTGAAGTTGAACTTCGCCTTTAAATGTATTTGTAAATACATTTAATAAAGACGCATTATTATTATTATTATTATTATTGATTTGTCACAAAAACAGTAATTACCAAAGTTATATATAATTATATAAGGAACGTTTTTGTCCCTTACATATTTTCTGTAGCCCTTTTAGTTTTTGAGTTATAGTATGAAAACTCTAATTAGAACAAGATATTTTTTTGGAAACGGCCGCCATTTTGTTGTTTTTATAGATCTATTTTGGCCCCGCTCAAAATTGTTTAAGATCGTCCTATAGAAAAGATATCTACAACTAGGGAAACTTTATCATGACACTCCCGTGATTTTTATGTATAGAAATTCACACCTACTAACAAATTCTTTTTGAAACTGCAATCAAAATTGAAAAATGATCGTACAATGTACCAATGTACAGGTAAAATTTGGAAATTTTTTTAGTGGTCGTACACAAAAATTGTTGTATTGTATTTATATAGTGTGATAATTGTATTATTGTCTTCTACAGTGTGTAAAGCGAGGGGGAATTTTTTTTTAAATATTGATTTATGAAAAAAAATTATTCTTCTTGATATTTTTTGCTTGCTTTGAAGGTGCCAATAACGTTTCGATTGTTTGTGGTTTTATAGCAATACGCTATCTTGATTATAATGTAGAATGATAACTTTCAATAAAAAAAATTAATTTTATTATTTTTCTACAAATAAATTTTAGATTATCGAAACGTTATTGGTACTTTCAAAGCAAAAATATCATGAAGAATAAATTTTTGCAATAAATCAATATTTAAAAAAAATTCCCTCATGTATACCCCTTCGCTTTACATCCTGTATATAAACAATTTATACTCGTATTATGAACTATGACTGGAAGCCGATCTCTCTCATTACAGACCTCTTCAGAACCTAACTTCACAGTAGGTTCAATGGATGCCGCCTGCGGCATCTTGGTTAGCTTCGAGTTTTTGAACTTTTTTGTCTACATACAAAATTTCATTTAAATACCTTAACAAAAAAAAGGTACATGGTTTGACTCAGCATTTGCTTTACTTTTACTTGAGGTGCCTACATTCAAGATTTCATTTAAATATCTTGCAAATTTAAAACAAAAACGGATTGCGCATGCGCAAAACAAATTTTTTGCTTCACCATTCGTTTCACTTTTATTCGAGGTGTCTACATACAAAATTTCATGCAATTCGGTTCATAACTAACTTATTTTTTGACCTACACGACCAATTCACGAACTCCGATCTACAAATTTGATAAAGAATCCACTTGCAAAATTTCATCGTAATCTGTCCATCCGTTCTCTATTAATGGTACTACTCATTTGGTGGTATCGGAACATCACTAACCACAGCCCAGGGGAGAAACGATAGCGCGTGGGGATATTGCTAGGAAAATGCCGAGGACAAAGTCGAACGTGACGGTTATGGAGTGGGGACGCGTACTGATCGCCTTCCGGCCTACGAAATCGGGATTACACTATCATCGAATTTCCAATTTTTTACAGTCGATAATCCACTAATTGCCAACATATTTTACAAGGAGTTAGTTAAAACATATACAATTTTCCTTTACTTTGGAGATTTTTTTATATGACGCTTAGAAGCGTAGATATACGTGTTTGAAAATTGCTATTTTTGACTCTTTTTGGGAATTAAATACAGAAAAATTAATTAAAATTTTTGAATTCTGCACAAATATTCAACTTTACTCTTTGAAACAGAGAAAACCGCACAGCTCTATCTGCTTTACCAAGATAGAAAAAGCGGAAAAACTATTGCATTAAATAAGCCCGGTTTCGCTAGGTGAAGCCTCGCCTTAAGATCCCCAAAAATACGCAGGCGCGCTCGAGTTAACATTTATAACTTTATACCTTCACCCCCACCCAAATAAGATGGGTAATCGACAACGAAAGTTTTTCGGAATTGAAAGTTTCACCGGCGATAAAAAAAATATCCTCTTTCGATAGCGCTGTTAAATTATGTGTCATAACGGTAGTTCGCGAGCAAGCCACGTGTGGGGCCGCCGCAAAAAAATTGCTTCAAAATTTAGGGCGTTGCGATATGTATGTGCAAGATGCATGTACTATTACCCAAATCTATAAATGTGAGGGGGGGAGGGGGGGGCAAAGAAATGCATTAACAATAAATTGTATCAGAACAGTACTCTTTCAAACCACTTACCTTTGTAACAGCATTAAGAGCTTCCCATGACATTTGCAGTACGTCCCGGTCACTATCGATGCAGAGGTGTATTAGACCGCGGTACAGCTGGGGAACGTGGTTTATGTAATGAGCGCGTGAATGAGCGCAAAACGCGCATAATAAAGTGGCGGCCGCTCGCCTTTGATCGAGATTATCGGTACGAGTATTCTCCAGTAGCGAGTCGACTATCGTTCGTATGCCCGCCTCGTCCGTTACGGACAGCACAACAGCCTGACAATATTCCAATTGCTACAAGTCGATAGATGAGATACTACTGTAAGTTCATCCGTTGAACGTACCTGTGCTTCGTTTGGTGTGCCCTTAGAGCTCGCCAACGACGTTTGAAGGGCCGGTAATATCCTAGGCAAGTATTTGTTCAAGGCCTCGCCGGCTACCGAAGCTAGAATAGAAAGTGCTTTAGTGTTAGCTGGAGGCGTGGTTAACTGCGGCACTAAGTAAGGCAAAACGACGCGTGATTTGATCGCCATAACTTGTCGTAGACCGTCCAACGTCCACTCGACCACCTCCGGGTCGCTGTCATTCTGAAATGCCAACAGTTAGTTACCAAATTACTCATTCATTGCTCCTACCAGTTTGCTTAACATAGCGGGCAAAATATCATCGAGCGCCCTGGCACCTACAGTAGTGTGTAAGCTGTCAAAGGTCTTGGCAGCTGCCTGGCGAACCTCGGGTAGCGGATCACACAACGCCTTTCGCACTGTAGGCACCAATGAATTGACGAAAGTTAAGACCATTTCGCGCGAAGTCGAAGCCATTATTTCGGACAGACCAATACAGACACCCTGCCGCTGATCAGATTGGTCAGACTGCAAACCTCTCTCCAAAATTGGTATGATCTCAGGCAGCACTCGTTCGCCCAACTTCCGTACGAGATCTCCCAAAGTACGCGCGGCAACCTGTCTTTTATCGTAACTCTCACTCGCCAAACAACCGAGCAACAATCCGAATAAGGTAGGCAAAATTTCACGTAAAGTTTTCGGCGTATTCGTTACGACGACCTTCCAAACGTGTAATGCGGATTGTCTCACCATCAGCGCGACATCGGATCGACCCATGTACAGACCAGCCAAAACTCTGTTCCGTCGTTCGGCGCCCAACGAACACAAGATGGCTTGATGGGACTGTTCGGTACCGAAATTATCGTCCTCACTAGCAGTTTCAGTACTCATTTTACCGGTAACACCAGAAATTCGGTATAATAGATCGCCCAACAGCTGAACTGAACTGCAATAGACCCTCAAGTAGTGCCGAACATCCGACCCAACACCTACCTGTAGCGTATCCGCCAGTTATCGTCAAATAAACCCCGCTCAAGCTCCGGCAGCAATAACAATATCGCGGAGTCAGCGTACAAATTAACGATCCGCTGTCCCGCTTTCAAAGCGGTATCTCGCACGTACTCGTTCTCGTCCGCCAACGCCTTCAGTATGGGATTTATGATCTGGCCGATGTACGGAGTGAAGTCGGCTTGGAACACGACTGGCATGTAAATGAACATCATGATGTAGCCGTCCTTGACGTGCGGAGCTATGTCGGTCCGTTCAGCCGTCGCGATAATTTCGGGCATAAGTTTGTGCAATTTTTCCACGCCGAGACCGCCGACAACTTCCGACAGGCCTTGGGCGGCGCCGGATCTATCGACCGAGCTGCTTTCGGACGTCAACGTCTGCATGAGCCATGGCAGTAGCTCCTCGAAGCTGGACTCTCCCATTCCTCTGACCATCGCGCCCAGTGCTCTCGCACTTACGCTACGCACCTATGCCAAAATTATAATTACGTTTCACATTTCGGTCAGTTCAGAGGTTCTCAACATGTGTACGTGACATTCTGAACGTTATCTAGTTGTTTACGTGCGGCGATCGCGATTGGTTCTCAGACAATGAAACAAGTTGGAAAGTACTCGAGGTACTTAAGGACGTTTTTGTGGGACGGATCGAGGTTTTATTAGCGCTGAAATATAATCTGCATGCAAAGAATTGTGCCACAAAGCTAATGCTTCAAACCCGACCATTCTACAATGATTCGTTCCAGGGTTATACTTAAAAACCTTTGCAACTTACCGCCCGAACAGCCAAAGTGAAATATACAGGGTGAATTTTTTTCATTTTAAGAGTTGTCGTTTTAGCTTATTCAAGACATGCTTTTGTTTTTTGAAAAAAATCCATAGTTTACTAAATATGGGCGAAAAACAGATTGAGTGATTTTTCTTTTAAATGTTGTAGAATCGTCAATATTAGAAATAAAATAAAATTTAATGCTTAACATGATGAACATACTAATTTCCTTCTCCATTTTACAGTTTTTGAGTTATAATACAAATTTTGTTTTTTTTTAAATGGTGGTCATAGTTGGCTTTGACATTTTTAAAAAGGATACATTTTTCTCTTTATAACGACATAATCATTTTCATATTATTGAGTCTGCGATACTTTGCGGTGTAATCACAAAACAGCAGGTGACTTTTCCTAATTGAAGCAGTCTAATTTTTGAATTTTTCGCCACAAAACTCTTTCTGGAGGACAAATTCACTGTGAGTCGTTATTTTTCTTAAGTCACGACTAGGAGAACTACGTGATGCTGTGGTAAATATGCCTCGAAATATGCCTTTCACAATTTAGATGGCAAAATAATACGGAAAGCTGTAAATTCTATGGCGAAAAGATGCCGCTTGTGTGTTAATAATAATGGTGGACATTTTGACATTTGCTAAGATAGATTACCTAATTTTTTAATTTGTAATTACTTCAAAGTAGAAATTTAAATGTAATAAATCGTAATTTCTTTGCGTTATTGTTCCATTCGTGGCTCCAAAGTTTTAAGTGAATTATCATAATAGATCAAGTAGGTATTATCGCCGCCACAAGAGAAGAGCCCTGCGTCATCATCTACAAGCGTGTGATTTAAGATTTAAAATCAAAGTCAAAATAGTTCCGTAATAATCAATATTAAAGTTGTTGAAAAATGTACTAGATGGCGTAGTTTCGCAAAGGTTTAAAAAGAGCAACAGCAAATCCCAATTCAGTTGTTTTTGTTAAAATGCAATAAAGAACAGGAAAGTTGAAAAAAACGTAGGTAAAAGAAGAATGACAAAAACGAAGAGCAAAAGAGGTTATGGAAAATTTGAAAATAATTAGGAGTATTACGACGTTGGTCAAATCAGCATCAAATATGCATGTTAAACTTGACAAGCGTTATAGGTTATCTCTTTTCATTACATTTAGCTTTTCAAAAGCGCACGTCTATTATATCCCAAGAACTTGTTTCGTTCTCTGCCCTTTTTTGGGTTGCGCAAATTTTTGAGATGTAAGTATCAACACCTTGGATTTATGCATTCGTACATTGATGACGCAGGGCTCTTCTCTTGTGGCGGCGATAATACCTAATTACATTATGAGCGCGCCGCAAATGGAGGGGATACACAAGGTTAGTAGAGAGAGTAGGTTGCCTCGTAACTTTAGAGAGACGCGTCATCGAGAATCCGGAAGTCCCATTTGATTGGTGTTTAAATTTTCGTTGACTTTGACAGTTATATTTAAACTGTGTAAATACTTAATTGTCAGACACTGCTGAAGACTCTATTACGAATACTTATTATAATTCGATTGAAGACTACTGTTGGATACTTAAGTACAGTGGCACCACGCTCAGAAAGTCCCTGACAGGGCGTGTCCGAGGGCGCTAGAAATTTAAACCGTACATTCTGATGCAAAATTTAAAAACACTTTAAGGGAATTACATACCTTTTTGCGCGATCGGTCATTTCTGACTATTTACCATGGGTGTTTCCAAGACAGTACGTAGAATTTACCAGTTGCTATGATTACGACGACGTCAAAATTACTTACCGATCTAAAAACAGAACAGCAAAAATACTTACCGACGCCTTTTTAAAAATCAACAGTCTTACATTACATTTAATCTTTAATTATTGTTAGGTACATTAAACGTACAATTTGTGCTATTGTTTCCTATGGCAAGACGCTCATAAAGTCATAAAGGAAGTTCAAAGCTAGTAAACTACATCAGACACATGCACATTTTTATGAAATTATTAACTTCAATTTTGACAAATAAACTGGTTACCTAGTGATATACACCATACCACTTCGATCATTTCGATTTATTCTGCTTGTTAATTTCTTAGTGCATATTTATATTGGTTGCATAATTTTAATTTCGATCGCGCAAAAAATGTTATAAGCACGTCGAACGTTAAGGGTTACCGTTCTCAGACAATAATTGGAGTCGTCGCTTCGCTCCTCCTCCAAACAATTGTCTTTGAACGGTAAAAATCCCTTACCGTTCTCCATACTTAATATACTATATCAGATCGTAGATCCCAGCTATATGCATCTTGAAAAAGACGAGTTTGTATAAAACTGGAGACGGAAAATGTAAAATAAGCAAATACAAGAAGCAAAGTGTAAACTAAAATAACGTAAAGCGTCAACTGTCAAAACGGAATAATTAATAATTATGGCGCGGAATGTATCGCGTCGTTTTGCAGACTTTTATTGGCCAGCTTGAATTATTTCAATATTAGTTCGCATATCTTCCGAGGCTTTTCTGAGCATGGTGGCACTGTATCAATATAGGGTATTAGATGCCGGATTGAAATCTTTGTGACGTTGTTATATGCAATAGCAGCTCCAACAAATCGAAAGCAAACGGATCGCAGTATCAGTTTTTTGCTTTTCCAAAAGGTAATTCCTGTATTACAAAAAGAATGGGTTATAAAGTGCAATGGAAAGGGAAACCTGAACCCCGTATGCAATAGACTGTGCAGTCTGCATTTCCCGGCCGCAGACTATGAAGATGAAATGTAAGCTATTTTGAATAAAGTGCGTTTTCACCAGCATGTCTCTTTCTATCCAATGCAGGAACTTTTCAGCACATCCATGTAAAGTACCATTTCAATCCATTTTGCATTTTTTGAGCTTGCTATGTTGTTGTTGCGTTAATAATTAATTCTTATGATGTGGACAAAATGGGATTCTGGGTGACGTCATTCGCGTATTTTAATACTGAACGTTTATTGGCTGATAGTTACGAGGCAACCTATCTTCTCTATTAACCTTGGGGGATACACTTATTACTTTTGCTTTATATAATCGCTGGAAGAGGCGCGCAATGACCTAATATCCGTATAAATTAATATTGCTCGCGCTACTTCTGCTTGTCATTGCACAGGTTGACTCAAAATTTCCACTCAAAACCTTCTTGTTAAAGTCACTAGATATAGAAAGTACCGCAATCATCCGCCATTTTTGGGCAAATTTGCTGCCAACTTAAAAAAATTGACAAATAAAATAAGAATAGCTGTAATTTTTTATAACCTAACTTCATAGTACTGTCATGTTTTATAAAAATATATACAGATATCTCCAAACAGGTGGAACAATCCCTAACATTAAAATTACTAGAATCTGGTAACTTCCGCCATTTTTTGGGCAAAAATCATGCGTTCTCTCTCTAACACACGAGCCCAATGGATTGCGGTACTTTCTATATTTAGTGACTTTACTTCTTGTTTGTTGAAAGCGACATCTTTGTAATCGTGACTACACTAAAATGACATTTTTTAGTTCCTACAATTGACACACCTCGAATTTTTAATCAAAAAGCGTACAAATCTCATTTAATACAAATCGCTTCAATTCCAAAATGTGCATTTTACTTCACCGTATCACTTTGATGGTATTAAAGTAAATATTATCACTCTTGGGACAAATAAAAATGTCGTTTAACTTTGAATTTCGATTTATGGATTATTTTGTTATCGATTTACGTATAAACCCTTTAATACCTAAATCAAACCTTCCTTTTTCAAATACAATATTCAAAAACTTTCTACTCATTCGTAAAAAACTTATTTGTATGCCTAAAATTTAGGTGATATTCTACTCTTTCGCCACCTATCGGCATAAACCGCAGCAGGCTTATTTGTCAAAGTAAGTACTACCAACCTTATATCACTGCAAACAGAAAAAATGCACTTTTTAAAAATGTCAAGGCCAACTATGGTTGCTATTTAAAAAATGTAAGTTTGCGTTCTAACTCGAAAATTATAAAAGAATGGACATTAATAAATGTATCTTATTAAGTGGAAAAGGGTGTACGATTTTTGTGCTTTACATATTTCTGTATTAATAGTAATGAAAACTCTACAATGTTTAAAAGCAAAATCACTGCCTCGTTCTTACTCCAGGCATTTCCTAACTTTTAAATGACCCTATTGCAGAACAAATCTCTTACAAAATTCGCCAATTTATCGAATGTGTCATAATTATAACTCGGTATGCGATACTGTTGATATTTTTAACACTAATTTAAAATTCCTTATAAGTATGATCCAATAATTTTTGTCTTTTTTTTGCTTTTATTATTGCACTAATACAATTTCTCTTATTTGCCAATATTGTGTTTTGATTTATGACTTTATTTTGTTTATTGTATAACTCTTTTAACAATTTTCTTTCGCTTTAGTTATAAATCTATCATTATAATTATTTTTGTTCAATTTTTGTTAATTTTTCTATATTTCTGTGCGGCTTTTATTGAACAATATTTAAGTTTGTCCTGTATTTAGACTGGATAGTCTGTTTTGACAATAAATTATTGTTATTATTAATATTAAATCTGTTTTTGACTCATATCTAGTAAACTGTGGATTTTTCCAAAAAAAAAAAAGATATCTAAAATAAGCTCTTAAAATGACAACTCTTTCCTCATTTAACCGAATCTCTATGTCCGCCTATAAGTTTTCTCCGACCCGCTAACATAATTCATAGTAGTATTATTACGTTACACATGCAGCATGTAGTGGACGCGATTCGAAGCTTCCAAGGCGTTTGAAAGCCTCTTTGAAGATGCATTTTTTGTTTCAGAGATAGCGCCAGGTATTTTCCAGAATTTTCGTCGCGATATATACCGGGTGGGGCAATAAATCTTAAGAACATAAATGAAAATTTCCATACGAGCTGAATATTGGGAATTACTCGTATTATCCACATCTGGTAATTTTTGTATGCAAAATTATGTTAATTTTCAAACTTTTTGTTTTTATAAAAAATGATTTTTTCGAAAGCAAAAAATAAATCAAGATTATTGATTTCATTAAACATAATTTTTATTTGGATTTTATTTTGGTTCCTTGGAAAAAAAGGGTGCCCTTCTTATGGTTTCTGAGATCCCAATGCTTAAGTGAAAAAAGAACTCACCCTGTATAAGACCTACTTTTTTTCAAAAACGGGCTGAAAATGTTTAATGCCCGTAAATGCAATACAATTACTCTGATTACAAACTCCTAATTTCTTAAGATTCTTGAAAATACTAATACGACTTCCTAAGATTCCTAATTTTCTAAAAGCCGTTTCCTAAAATTATAAAGGCTCCTAACAGCATGTTATAATTAGGGCGGGTGGTCTACGTGTGGGTTGCAGCGTACCATTATGGACGTTTGAACAGTGGCAACCGATATGAGCATTTGAGCCATTTCCAATATCAAAGACGTAAGAGAACGTCACTCACAGTATAAAGCAATTGTGAAATGACTTACCTCTGGAACTGGATCCAAAAGTGAAGTTTTCAGTCCAGGAATAATGGTTGGTAAATAGGGGAAGAGATCCTTTTGATCCGTTAGCGAGTACATATTCCCAATAATTTGCGCCGCCATCTTACGAGTCTCAGTCGAACGATCGATGAACGCCCTTTGAACGACGGGCATTATCAGCGCCAAAGATGGGGCGTCGATGAAATGAACGAACTGCGTATCTAAGAGCGTCTGTAGACAAACTGAAGTCTTATTCGACGGATCCTGCAACGCTTGCAGTAGTACGGGCACGATCGCCTGAATTTCCGGATTCCGTATGACGGACCCGATGACTCGCAGGGCCTCCGCGCCCGCCTCTTGCACCTTCATGTGGGAATCGCTCAGAACCTCGATCAACTTCGGTACAATGCTAGGAAGACACGAAGATAGCTGCTTGGGAGCGCAGTAGGCCATCGCGCCCAGTAACTCAACGGAACCTATTTTCGGTCACAATATTATCTGTATTAGACAAATGTACCAGTACCAGTTTTTGTTCTCCAAGATCCTTCGTCTAGGGCTGCCAAGAGTGATGGTAGTACTAATTTAACACCATGCGCCGAGAGTTTGCTCATAATGACTCGGGCACAGTCGTCGGTAGCGTTACGAACATACTGGCTTGAGTCACCAAAACACAGTAATAAATAGGGGAGGACGTGCACAATGTAAGGCTCAAATAATCTCCCCAGCATTTGGCAAAGCATTTCAAATGCGAATACCGCCCCTACAAACCTCCAGTAATAGCCAGGTCTTGCGAATAAACCACTTACCTTCCCGATGTTTATAATTCTTCTTATCTTGTATCGCTTCGGTCAGCTTCGTCATGATATCCAACTGCTTGAGCGCCAGAATACCCATACCTTTAACTAAACCTGCAAGACCGTAAGCGGCACCCTTCCGATCTCCATACTTGTCGCTCTTCAAAAGTTGATAGAGAAGTTTACCAACCAAACCGGGAGCGTCATCCTTCACCGAGGGCACCAAGGGCGGTAAACAATTTGCGACCGCCTCTTGAACCGATTGCGACGGGGTGGAAAGTGCCGCAATCAGTCTCTTTACAATCGGCTTGATCCTCGGATCGTCCTTCTCCAAGTGCTTGGCCAAGGAACCCATTAGGATCACTACGGCATGCTTAACTGCGTCTAAGTGGGCGGACTTTGAGGACTTATCCATGAATTTTTCGAAAACGGGTAAAAGCGTCGAGACGTGGTCCTATAAAGAAATTAACGAAATCTGTACAAAGAATACAACTAGATCAACTGCAATGGCTTTGTCTATTAATATACAGGGTGCCCATTATGTATGGAATATACTAAATTTGGCATCAACCGCAAAAAGCATAATATTGCATATTGCAATCATCAGAAATTTGTTTTGTGATATCGTTCGCATAAATCAGAAACAGTATTGGACCTAACATTGTCCCTTGCGGGATGCCCTTATTCGCGGGCCTATAAACAGTGAGTACGTATCATGCGACTTGCAACATTGCTTTCTGTTGTCAAGTAATTGCGAAACCAACTAGTAACGCTCCCAGAGCAAGCATAATAGGACAGGACAGGCTACAAGTAGATCGTGATTCAGTGTCAAAAGCCTTACTGATGTCCAAGCACACTAAGAAAACGGCCTCTCGCTTATCGAAGGAACATGAAAAATCGTTTGCTATTTTCAGTAGGGCTGAAATTGAACTGTGGTGTATCTTGAAACCTGATTGTTGTTCGTTCAAGATTCTATTTTTGTTTGTGAATATATTTCTTCATGATTTTTGAGAGCACTGAGACAATATTTATCGGTCAGAGTTCACGAACGATATGATTCTTGTGTATGAAAGCTGTTTAACATTTTATTTCCCATAATAAGGCAGCATTCAGTTGTTTTTATTTCAGCAAACAAATGAGTAACGAAAAACAATTGAATTTTTTTAAATGGCACTACACCTTTTCATTAGGCTCATTGGATAGATTTTTTCTCTTTTCGATGATGTAACATGTTAGTACCTTAACACACAAAAATTTTTCAAAAAAATTTATTATAATTCATCAATTATCAATATATCAATAACATTAATCTAGATATCCTACATCAAAATAAAACAAATAAACGTGTTAAACCTTGAAAACAAAATGAAATTAGCAATAAAATGAGTGAACTAACTTATCACTAAAAGCTTGAAATGAATGTACACGTTCATTTGTTTTATTTTGATGTAGGATATCTAGATTCATGTTACTGATGTAATATTAATTTTTTTGTATCAGGGACCAGGGTACTAACTAACTAACTCAGGGTGAAATTCATAGATATTGTTAGACTTACACTTTACTCATATACTTAGTGGTAGATATGCAATTTTCCATTTGCAGAACACATTACATCCATTTATAATGAACTTAAATTGTTAAAATGCGAAAACCAATTTATGTTATTGTATGCTGCATTGCTATTTCATATTGTTAATTCTTGTGAACCATTCTACCTTTATACAGTTCTCAAAAAACGTAATAGTTTACACAGTAAATCTTTAAGGGATAATGAGTATTACTCACTCATGGAACATAAGTCTTCCTGAAAATTGCTTTTCATATTTGTCATGCAAGATTTTAAACAATTATTTTAATTATTATACCAACTGCAAAAGTGTTAATAATTTCAAAAGCATGTTACGTACAGAACTTCAAAGTTTCCAGAGAAACAAATGTCAATAGGGCCATTTAATTTTTTGATTTCTTTATTTCTAATTTTCTTTACCTTACTTCTGTCTTATTGTTGTCTTATTATTTTTGTTTTCTTTGTGGATTATGAATTCACATCGCTTAATGTACCGATGGTAGGAGTGAAAAACGGCCTTTGGCCAATCTCCCACCTTTTAAGCAATTTTTCTTTAAATTTGAAATTGTTATTTCTTTTTCTTATGTTTTATTTTTGCTTAATAAAGAATCATTATTATTATTATTATTATTATTATGCTAAGGTAACGCATGCGATTATTGTTATAGTAACGCGCGAAACACGGACAGTTAAGCAGGAATACTAGCAGTAAATATAAGTTCCACTTAAACTAAACTAAGTGTGCACTTAGTAAAGTGAATTCCACCCTAAATGATACGTAATCGAAAAAAAATCTTTAAAATGATTCAAATTCAATTGATGTAAAAAAAAATTCAAAATGACTACTTTTGAGGAACATTTACCAACTTCCTAAAGTTAAATAGACGCCATATTGGATTTTTAGATTAAATTTTTTAATTCTCTTTTCAACGAGCTATCATAATAACATAAGATTGAAAATAAGATACCAGTTATATCAACGGCTATTATATTTTAATCAAGTAGTCTGTGATGAATTTCAAAAAAACAAAACAAAATCTATTCGAGACAACAAAACAATGAAAATAATTACATCAGATGTTAAAAATAGTGGCCATTATTAGTAAAACACACCTCAAGACAGTTTACTTTAGGCAACGTGTTTATTTATTCTTTAATGTACAGGGTGGCCAACTAAGAATGCGAGGTACTGTATCTGAGAATCTATCCATCGTAGAGGCTTACCGTAAAAAAATTTATTACTAAAACGGCCACGAGCAAAACCTGAAAAATATTTTTAAGTTTCTGAAATGACCGCTAGGGGGCGTAACTGCAAACTGGAATCTAAAAAAGTGAAGTTTCTGTGAATTCCGCTATATTAACCTAACAAAAAATGTCCGGTCTTTGAAGTCGACGATAATCTGAACAATTTTTGTTTGACAATTTTTCCTGTATCTCTAAAAATGAAGTGGTGGGGGGTATTCAAAGGTTTCCGTAAAGAACACCCTGTATCTTCGAAACGGCTGAGCCGATTTTTTAACAAAGTCGGGTTAGTTCTAGTTCTAGTTAGAGCTATTCTTCAGCTACAAATATTATATTATTTAAAGTTTTGTTAGTTTCACACATCATCCCTTGAGGGCTTTTTTCGACATTAGCCTGGTCAAAGTACACAAAATATCCGTAAAATGCAGCAAAAAATAAAAACCTTTTGGAAATTCAAATTTAGGTAGTTAAAAGGATTGTGCTTAATATGAGAAAATCTTTACCAATTTAGGTAAGCAATTTTCCTGGAAGAACTTTCGTCGAAAAGTTTGGTATTTGTTTTTTCACTTTAATTGTTTAAATAATGAAAATACAGAAAAATGTTCAAATCAAAAATTATAGCCAATGCATTTACCTACAAAATTTGTCTGAAAAGTTTTCTGATATCTTCATTAGTTTTCGAAATATACCAAATTTTCCTAAGAGTATTTTTAAACATCATCAATTTTCAAGTTTTTAATTTTAAGATTGTAAATAAACAATGACACGTAGAAACGTAGAGTTTTCATTTATTAATCATATCAAAATCAATCAGTATCATTCGTCTTCCGAGCTCAAATATAACTCAATATCATTTTCATCTTCACTGAAGTTATCCTCAAAATGTGAACCTTGAGTGTCTTGATTATCAACATTTATAATTGTTTGATCGTCGAAGTGATCATTATCTTCATCTTCGTCAATATCTACGTTATTTTTTTCTAAATTAGCACTGAAAAAAGTTATGTTAGATTTTCTAAAAGACGTCTAATATAAATAATTGTCTATTATTTAAAAAATTTGCTATTTACAGAAAAACTGTACCTATTAAGTTTTGAAAGTATATACTTCAAAGTATTTACAGATAAAGTTTCATTGAAATATATTAACTTTGTCAGTTTTTTCAGTGCATCACAATCTTCAAATTATTAACTTTGGCTCACGGGACGTTCGCGCGCACTCACGAATCAACTTCCGCTGAAATCAATTATATCTCGTACACTTGTCAATTTACAGAAAAACTTTTCCGACAAATTTTGTCGATAAATGCATCAGCTACAAATTTTAATTGAAACTTTTTTCCGTATATTTAATATTTAAACAATTGGAGTGAAAAAACGAAAACAAAATTTTTCACTCGACGATTTTCCGGAAAATTGCATACCTATCTTCGTAAAGAATTTTTCATATTAAGCACAACCCTTTTGAATACTCAAATTTGAAATTTCAAGAGGTTTTCATTTTTTGTGAAGCTATATGTGTACTTTGACCACGCTACATTCCAACAGAAATGGTTAATTTTCTGAAAAAAATTAAATGCATTGGTCCGATTTTTTTTCATGAAAAAGTAGCTAAATGATGCCTAAACAAGCTCGCGAAAACAGCATCTCTGCAAAACTGCAAAACAATGCCCATTTAACCAGTTCTCTATCTTTAATAATAAGAAAGTTACCCGTGCAATCCCACGCGATCTGGGACACACTGTACACTATATTCCATACATAATGGGCACCCTGTATTGATATGATACGAGGGGGACCCAATCATAGGCGGAAACGACCAGTTGCGCGTGCACGCTTTGTAATTATGAGTAGTGCTGCCAGGTGGTGTTAGTTTGAGGTCTCTCGCGTCATTCAGTAAACTCGCGTAAGTCTGAGTTGAGTGTGGTACTCTGTTGTGGCGTTCCTGCTGCAACCTTTTGGTGATTTAAGATGGCCGCCAACAAGGAACAAGGAAAAGAAAACTGAAGCCGAGACCATTTGGATGCTTCGGCAAGCCTTTAATGATGCTTTCCCTGGCTTCCCAGAGTATTTGATCATTTCCAGTGCTTTTAAGGCACTTTCCAGGCTTTGGAAAGAAGCTAGAGTCCAGGGAAAAGCAAAAACCCTTTTTAAAAGACCTGAAAATCTTTGGAAAGGGAGTACGCAATTTTGGAAAGACGAAAGAATGATTTAGAAAACTGTTCTGGAAAATACTTATAAGGCTCTGGAAAGGATTTAAGACACCTTCCTTACTCTTTGGGTGGTTTCCAGAGGTCCGAAGGTTTTAAAATTCCCAGCGACTTCCAGAAAGGCTTTGAATGTTTAGGAAAGCACTTGTAAGGGATGGAAAGACACTTAAGAGACTCTTCCATAGCCTTCTTCTGCTGTTTTCAAAAGCTATTCTATATTCTATTCATTTTAAGAAGGCAGCGGTAGAAAGCATAGGGACAGTTTGACCTTCACTGTGATTGGATAAAACATAAGTCAGTATTAACCTGAAAAATAAAACAAGTGACGAATCCTGTTTGTTAGAAGTGCGGTTACGAACTAAACCGTCGAACTGTCATTAGCTGTCAATTTCAAAGATTCAAGCGTGATATCGTTTGATTTATATTTATATTTTTCAAATTT